ATTAGTGGAACCTGATAAAACACAAATGGCAGAAATAGAGGAAAACGTGGATGTGAAACTGCCTTTGAAAAAGCCCAAGAAGCTGAAAGCAGAATTGATCGAGGAATCTGTCGATGTCATTGTGAAAAAACCTGAATTAGTGGAACCTGATGAAACCCAAATTGCTGAAATAGAGGAAAACGTGGATGTGAAACTGCCTTTGAAAAAGCCCAAAAAGCTGAAGGCAGAATTGATCGAGGAACCTGTCGATGTCATTGTGAAAAGACCTGAACTGGTGGAACCAGATAAAACAAAAATTGTCGAAATAGAGGAAAACGTGGATGTGAAACTACCTGTGAAAAAGCCCAAAAAGCTGAAGGCAGAATTAAACGAGGAATCTGTCGATGTCATTGTGAAAAAGCATGAATTAGTGGAACCTGATAAAACACAAATTGCAGAAGTAAAGGAAAACGTGGATGTGAAACTACCTTTGAAAAAGCCCAAGAAGCTGAAGGCAGAATTGATCGAGGAATCTGTTGATGTCATTGTGAAAAAACCTGAATTGGTGGAACCTGATGAAACACAAATTGCGGAAATAGAGGAAAACGTGGATGTGAAACTGCCTTTGAAAAAGCCCAAGAAGCTGAAGGCAGAATTGATCGAGGAACCTATGGATGCCATTGCGAAAAGACCTGAACTGGTGGAACCTGATAAAACCCAAATTGCGGAAATAGAGGAAAACGTGGATGTGAAACTGCCTTTGAAAAAGCCCAAAAAGCTGAAGGCAGAATTGATCGAGGAACCTGTGGATGCCATTGCGAAAAGACCTAAACTGGTGGAACCTGATAAAACACAAATTGCAGAAATAGAGGAAAACGTCGATGTGAAAGTGCCTGTGAAAAAGCCCAAAAAACTGAAGGCAGAATTGATCGAGGAATCTGTCGATGTCATTGTGAAAAAACCTGAAATGTCGGAACCTGATAAATCACAATGTGTCGAAGTAGAGGAAAACGTGGATGTGAAACTGCCTTTGAAAAAGCCAAAAAACCTGAAGGCAAAATTGATCGAGGAACCTGTCAATGTTGTTGTGAAAAAACCTGAATTAGTGGAACCTGACAAAACACAAATGGCAGAAATGGAGGAAAATGTGGATGTGAAACTGCCTCTGAAAAAGCCCAAGAAGCTGAAGGCAGAATTGATCGAGGAATCTGTCGATGTCATTGTGAAAAAACCTGAATTGGTGGAACCTGATAAAACCCAAATTGCAGAAATAGAGGAAAACGTGGATGTGAAACTGCCTTTGAAAAAGCCCAAAAAGCTGACGGCAGAATTGATCGAGGAATCTGTCGATGTTATTGTGAAAAGACCTGAACTGGTGGAACCTGATAAAACACAAATTGTCAAAATAGAGGAAAACGTGGATGTGAAACTGCCTGTGAAAAAGCCCAAAAAGCTGAAGGCAGAATTGATCGAGGAATCTGTCGATGTCATTGTGAAAAAGCCTGAATTAGTGGAACCTGATAAAACACAAATGGCAGAAATAGAGGAAAACGTGGATGTGAAACTGACTTTGAAAAAACCCAAGAAGCTGAAGGCAGAATTGATCGAGGAATCTGTCGATGTCATTGTGAAAAAACCTGAATTGGTGGAACCTGATAAAACACAAATTATCGAAACAGAGGAGAATGTGGATGTGAAACTGCCTTTGAAAAAGCCTAAAAAGCTGAAGGAAGAATCAATCGAGGAATCTGTCGATGTCACTGTGAAGAAACCTGAATTGGTGGAATCCGATAAAACACAAATTGTCGAAATAGAGGAAAAAGTGGATGTGAAACTTCCTTTGAAAAAGCCCAAGAAGCTCAAAGCAGAATCGATCGAGGAATCAGTCGATGTAATTGAGAAAAAACCTGAATTGGTGGAACCTGATAAACAACAAATTGTCGAAATAGATGAAAACGTGGATGGGAAACGGCCTTTGAAAAAGCCCAAAAAGCTGAAGGCAGAATTGACCAAAGAATCTGTCGATGTCATTGTGAAAGAACCTGAATTGGTGGAACCTGATAAAACACAAATTGTGGTTCCCGAGGAAAACGTAGATGTGAAACTGCCTGTGAAAAAGCCCATAAAACTGACGACAGAATTGGTCGAGGAATCTGTCGATATCATGGAGGAGAAGCCTGATATAACACAAATTGTTGATAGAGACGAAAATGTGGATGTGAAACTGCCTTTGAAAAAGCCCAAAACACTGAAGGCAGAATTGATTGAGGAATCAGTCGATGTCATTGTGAAAAAACCTGAATTGGTGGAACCTGATAAAACACAAATTGTCGAAATAGACGAAAACGTGGATGTGAAACTGCCTTTGAAAAAGACCAAAAAGTTGAAGGCAGAGTTCATCGAGGAATCTATTGATGTCATTGTGAAAAAACCTGAATTGGTGGAACCTGATAAAACACAAATTGTCGAAATGGACGAAAACGTGAACGTGAAACTGCCTTTGAAAAAGCCCAAAAAGCTGAAGGCAGAATTGTTCGAGGAATCTGTCGATTTCATTGTGAAAAAACCTGAATTGGTGGAACCCGTTAATACACAAATTTGTGACATCGAGGAGGACGTAGATGTGAAACTGCCTGTGAAAAAGCCCAAAAAACTGACGACAGAATTGGTCGAGGAATCTGTCGATGTCATTGTGAAAAAACCTGAAATGGTGGAACTAGATAAAACACAAATTGTAGAAATGGAGGAAAACGTGGATGTGAAACTACCTTTGAAAAAGCCCAAAAAACTTGAGGAAGAATTGATCGAGGATTCTGTTGACGTTAAACTGTATAATAAAGTGCCAAAACAAATCAAAGAAGATTTGATCGAAGAATCAGGAGATATAACTTTGAAAAAGCCAGAATCAGTAGAGCTTGAAACGCCTCAGATGGTTAAGATCGATGAAAGTGCAGAAGTGAAGACGGTCAAGAAGCCGAAGGCGAGAGAATTGATGAAAGAGTCCGCTGAGGTAACTTTGAAGAAATTCCAATCCATAGAACCTGAAAAACCACAAATGGCGGATTTCGAAGATAATATTGAAGTGAAATTGCCACTCAAGAAGACCGAGCATCCAATGGTTAACGAGTCAATTGATTTGCCCATGAAATTGCGTGAGCCTGATAGCTTAACTGTTGAAGAGTCTCAGTCAGTTACAATTCGAAAACGATCGAAGCCTAAGCAAATTGTGAGCGATGAACAAAATGTTGATATCGATGTCGAGGCCAAAAAGCCTGAGACATCAATATTGGAAGAAATTTCTGAATTTGATCTGAAGCATGTTTTGCCTAAGCCTTACACGGCAGACAGCGTACAAGAAGAACACCAGATAGTAGTAAAACCTGATAGCGTAGATTTTGAAAAAATAGATGAAGCAATACAGGAAGAAATCCAGTCCGTCCGTCTAATGCGAAAGCCTAAAAAGAAGTATTCCATCACTGAAGAAACTGAAACCGAGTTCATAGTGACAAAACCAGAAGTTCCAACTGAGGATTACAAAGAGTTCATGCCTGAATTGATCAAGAAAAAACACCAAGAAATAAGAGAAGATGTAAGTGTTGAAATAATGAAGCCTACTGATTATACAACAGAAGAAACAGAGGAAGATGTTAAAATAAAAATGAAAAGCGCCTCTAAGCGATATAGCGTCTCAGAAGAAACAGTAAAAAGCGAGGTTATTCTTCAGCCTGAGTTTACAAAAGAAGACTCTGACATAGTCAAAAAGCAAGAGATGGTTGAGAAAAAACTGTCGATTGGTGTCAGTCAGCCCCAGCCTGAAACGATTGAAGAAGAGACGGAATCTATCAGCATTCGTAAGCGGCCCAAGAAGAAGTCAATTATTACTGAAGAAACGGATGAACGGGTCACTGTTAGGAAACCGAGTAAGGACGAAGGCCCTCTTGCGAGCGAATTCAAATTTATCCCCAAGAATGAAAATGATAAAGAAACACATCAAGAAATCAGAGAAGACGTCGATGTCTCGATTGAAAAACCTATTGATTTCACATCGGAAGAAGCTACAGAAGAAGTTAATATTAGAATGAAGAGAAAACCTCGTCGATATACTATAGATGAAGGATCATCTGAGGGCAATATCATCATCCATTCGGAAGAAACTGAACCCGAAAGCATTGTAATGGAGTCCACAGAGGTGCTTACACAAAATGTAACAATGAAGGCAAAATCTAAGAAAAAAACTGAGGTAGAAAAACCTATGATGTCCAAGTCGCCAAGTCCTGAAGTCCCCGACGAATTCACAATAAAAAGGAAAAAGAAATCCTATGTCATTGACGACCAGGAAATCGAAGCTCAAATTAGGTTTAGAAGCAGTGAAGAAAGACGGGATAGCGATGACTTATCCGAAAGTGTCCTCTTGGGTATCAGAAGTGATACTTCGTCTGAAGATGACAGAACAGAACAAATTGAAGAGGTTGATGGTCAATTCACCTTTGTAAAGCAGCCAAGACAGGTAGAGAAGAAGGTATCCGAAGAAACCTACAGTGGGGATGTGAGGATACCAAAAGCACCTCGTCGCGCACCCTGTTTTTCTCAAGGTCAGAAATTGCTTTTCATTTCTGGCTTCTTTTTCTACGATTCAATTACGTTTTGTTCAACGCTTCGTTACGGGATATTCTTGCATGGACAACGTCTATTTATCGTTCATTCATTTCGTTTTTTCGGTTCGTGCGCGCAGATTTTACGTTTCGCGCGCTCGATTGGCAACGCGATCGTCAAAATTCTCCCGAACTCCTAATTTTCGTCGAACTTTTCTTTATTGTTCAATGTTTTTAATGTATTTCATTTGTTTTAGGTGATCGTGTTTTTATTTTTTCAATGTTTATTAATGTTATTTTTTTCAGTTTCTTCCGAATTTTCGAACTGCGTCTGTGCTGAAATGAAATTTTACCTCGTCTGAAATATTGTAAAAATATGCCATTTAACTGGTGTTGCAGAATGTACATCAATTTTTATTGAAATTTCAGAAGATAGCGGAGCTGCTGTTTCTTCGTCCATCACCATTCAAGGTTAGCCTTAAAAATGGGAAAAATATCTAGTAAAATGCAAATGTACCGGAGCGTTTTTTTGTTATCGAGCCTGCTGAATTTATGTTAAATACATTTATGCTAAAGTGACATGAATAATATGCATATTATCTGAATGCAAACTTATAACATAGCACGATTTTAATCGGAAGCTTTACCGAATATTGGTGTTAGTCCGCAGTCCCACTTTCATACTGAAATCTATTTCTAATTGCTGACAAATTAGGCATTGTCCTTGGTTTTTGTCAAACGTTGGTTAGAAATTAAATGTATGCATTCAATCAAACTTTACTATGTGAGAAACGAAGCTCCTGTCACGGTGGCTTCAATGTCATGCTTGCAGTGACAAGCTGGCGATGTCACAAATATCAATCTGTATCTCAAATGTACACGAATATGAAATTAATTAGGATGGTATCATTTCCGCGTGGAAAAAGCTAAAAGCTTCATTGTAGGCAAATGCAAAGATAGATGTAACGTTCCCTGACGAGATATTATTCTAACCTTTTTTAAGTTTCGCCTATGTTTACGCGACCAGAAAGTATTAAATAATGAGTATTTTCACTAATTACGATTAAAGTGACCTGCTAATATGCGATCTTAAAGCGATTTTGTGAATATTTGTAATAAAGATGTAAAAAAATGACGAAAAACCATATTCGGCATCAGCTGTGACGGCAAAGGAGGTGAAGGTGGGCGACATGCTGAGAGCCATCGCGACCTACGTCGCCGAGGACGACCATGAGAACTCGATGCATTTGGTCGAAGGAGAGCGAGTTTATGTCATTGGTAAGGGCCGAGCTACTTATGACGTTGTTGATAGCATGTCGGACAGGACACTTTATATATTTTAGTGGATAAAAAACGTAGTTTCTCAGTAATCAAAAAATATAACTCGGTACTCACTGCAGTGAGTGACAAAGACCGGATTTTTTCAAAATCGATGAAAACGTGAAGTCACTGACAGACAGACAGACGGACGTACATGACGAGCACAATAGCGTTTTTTCCGTAAATGAGAAAATGCGCTAAAAATGATTGATAGGTGCACTTAAGCTAAGATTTGTTTGGTAGTTATGAGATAATGTCTAAAGCATTAAGAGGGAATTATCTGGAGAATATATGTGCCCAATAATCGATCGGTCCATACTTTGATGTGGATTGCATAAAAGGCTCCTGGAAAATACCACTAACTTCTAATTTCAGTGCAAAAAGTACTCTAGGTTACGGACAAAAATTCATGTTTAAAACAAAAATCAGCAGTGATGTTTCAAGTTCGATTAATTGGCAAGGATCTTTAGTCATTTAATTGGAATATAGCTGTTTATTTGCACAATATTATTATATTAGCATAGCATTATACTTCTGATGAAGATTTTGAATTGAAAATAGGAAGTATAACCTTGTAAATCGAATTTGATTTTATTGTATCGAATCAAACAATCTGTGTATCAAGGACATATAAATTTTTAACTGGCCAAGAATTCAATAACTAATCATACAGGAATAATAATAAAGAAGTAAACAATTGCAGAATCGAGCGACCATGACTGGTGGTTCGTAGAGAAGCACCTGACGAAGGAGCGTGGATATGTGCCGTCCAAAATGCTCTCTGTCGACGCCGACTACACTCACTACGTGCGCCGGCGGCTCGAGGAGAAGATCAGCTCCTTGCCTGTCTTTGAAAGTAAGGGATTTGCCTGTCTTTGAAAGTAAGGGATTTGCTTGTCTTTGAAAGTAAAGGACTTGCATGTCTTTGAAAGTAAGGGCCTCCTTGCCTGTCTTTCATAGTAAGGGCCTTGCCTGTCTTTGAATAAGGGCCTTGCCTGTCTTTGAAAGTAAGGGCCCTGCCTGTCTTTGAAAGTAAGGGACTTGCATGTCTTTGAAAGTAAGGGCCTCATTGCCTGTCTTTGATAGTAAGGGCCTTGCCTGTTTTTGAAAGTAAAGGCCTTGCCTGTCTTTGAAAGTAAGGGCCTTGCCTGCCTTTGAAAGTAAGGGCCTCCTTGCCTGTCTTTGAAAGTAAGGGCCTTATCTGTCTTTGAAAGTAGCTAGGTGCCATGCCTGTCTTTGAAAGTAAGGGCATTGCCTGCCTTTGAAAGTAAGGGCCCTGCCTGTCTTTGAAAGTAAGGGCCTTGCCTGTCTCTGAGAGTAAGGGCCTTGCCTGTCTTTGAAAGTAAGGGTCTTGTCTGTCTTTGAAAGTAAGGGATTTGCTTGTCTTTGAGAGTAAAGGCCTGGCCTGTCTTTGAAGAAATTGCACCTTTCAATTTATTCGGGGATATTATAACTCTAATAATAAATTTACATGTTTACCTAAGTGTTTCAGTGTCATTTAAATGGTTTTCGCAAAACTGTGCAGGAGTTCCCTGTAAATATTGCTTTAACTCAAGTTTCAGTTTATGAAATTATTACTTTTTCAGTACTGGAAATCTAGCGTCCTTCCAATGTATAACACTCCAGAACTAGTGAACTTGATATTATGAATTCAAATGTTGTTATTGAATGCTTGGAATCTACGATACTTCCATTTTGCACATCAATAAATATCCATAAAGCTGCCAAGCTCGCCTGCACATTCTACAGTCCTCACAATTTTTACTTGGCACAGAGCTGAAGAAGGGTCAGAAGGCCGAGGCCCCGAAGATAACTCACTTTTTGGAGTCTCAAACGGTGGCCGATGGTCAGGAGGTGCAGTTTGTCGTGAAAGTCCAAGGCACCCCGAGGCCCAACGTGACCTGGTTCAGACAGACGGCAATTATCAAACCTTCCGAGGAGTTCCAGGTTAGAAATTTTGAATATTTAAATTTTACCATTGGTCGTTGTTGTCATATCTGACTATTTAGATCAGATTCATGTCAAAGTTAGTATGATTGATACATGATCTAATTTAATGTTCTATTCCGAGGGTTAAACTTCAAACTATGTCTCATAATATACTGCCGAAGACTCTCATAGTACCGAGTTCTGCTAATAATATTCCAATAATTTCTAGCATAGGCTTTTCTGAAACCAATAGAGACTGGTAACACAAAATGGGGTGCCGGAGTGGTGGGACTGTAGGCAGTCCTAGCTCGAGACACTCTTCTCTTAATTTAAAGCCGTATATTTTTTACCCCGGATGAGCATCATGGAGATAATCGTCACGCTAATATCATCAATATATCAACAAACTTTTATTTAAACAATCCTTTCGTATCTAGTGGATAGAGCGTCTAAGTTAAATCTCCAAGATGGGCCCTTTAATCATATGGACCAAATATAGTGAGGCCCCTGACCCGTTTTATCCTGACCTCAAATAATTGCTTCGTGATTTTCCTCCATCCGATATGGTCTATCGTATGATGAAAACCGGACCTCATTGAGTTATGTTTCAAATCAAAACGACCAACACGGTGAGGCAGTGTTTTACATTAAATACCACTCATGACTTATTTCTCACACAGGTGTTCTACATTAATCACAGGTGTTCTACATGACTTTATTTCTCGCACAGGTGTCCTATATTATGTTCCATTCATGACATTTTTATTCCTCCCACAAGTGCTCTACATTATATTCCACTCATGACTTCATTTCTCACACAGGTGTTCTACATTGTATTCCATTCATGACTTATTTCTCACACAGGTGTTCTACCTTATAAAAATAAAGTCTTAATTGCTATATGATAGACTTTATTTATTGTTCATAACTTTAACACACTTTTCTCACACAGGTGTTCTACATTATATTCCATTCATGACTTATTTCTCACACAGGTTTTCCACATTATATTCAATTCATGACTTTATTTCTCACACAGGTGTTCTACCCTATTGAAATAAAGTCTTTATTTTTATAAGGTAAACTTTATTTATTATTCATAACTTTAACACACTTTTCTCACACAGGTGTTCTACTCAGAAGACAACACGGCAACGCTGCTGATCAAGGAGGTGTTCCCAGAGGACGCTGGACTCTTCACGTGCGTCGTCAAGAACTTGGCGGGCTACGCCATGAGCGAGGCCGAGCTCGTGGTAGACGGTCCCGTGAGTGACCACGGCTCCGACACCATGCTCGCCTCCAGGCACGGGCTTTCTTTGTTATCTTTAGCTGAAAATGTAGGAGAGATATTCGTACATTGGAATATATACTGTATACACTTAGGAAGAAATATTTTTAAAGCCTTACTTGGAAGATGTTCTTCTCATAATCATAAAACAAATAGTTAATGTAATCTTTTTTGACCTGCCTCGGCCAAGATCTCCAATATTTACCTTAGACTGTAATGTTTGACACCATATTTTGTAACGTTTAATTCTCGCCTCATGGTATTGTTCACTCCATTGTATCGTTTCACTTCCCTCTCATTGTACCGTTTGACTGCCTCTATGTCACTCTGTGTAACACCTCTAATGTTGGGGTCTTCGATTCTTCTGCTACTGCAAAGTACAACCCCTATTTTACCATTCGACCTTTGTCTTTATTGTGTGGTACTGTTCGATCTTTCTCCTATTGTAGTGGTAGCATCCCATGCAACCGACTTTACAGCTCGACTAATCTGCAATATTGTATACTGTTATTCCACTTATTTCATCTATTATACTGCTATTTCACCTATTATTTTGTATTGTTTGACGCCCTTATCATTGCAATTCTACGCCATACAGGAGGAGCCTGAGCCGCGACTCGTCCGTGTGCGACACCATGGAGGGCATCCCCCCCACCTTCGCCATGAAGACCATCAACAAAACATGCGAGGAAAACGCTCAATTTGAAGTCGACGTCAGACTTGTTGCTATACCAGAGCCCGAGATTGTTTGGAAAAAGGATGGCTTGGTGAGGAATCTTTTTTATTTTTACTGGTTGGATGCGTTAATGAAAATTTGCCTGATTAGATTAAGTATTCCGGTTATTTCGATCTCATTATGCGACCTAGAGTATAGATATGCGTCTCACTGTTTTTCATTCTGGATCATCAATTTGTGTGAATAAATGCGATTCTACTTTTCGTCTGACCTGCATAGTCGGTTTTTTTAATTTTTTTTTACGTCCACAAATCTACTTCGTATGATCTGCTATAAACCATTTATATTATTTGATTGGTTTGAACTTTGTGCCTGTTCGTACAGATCCTCCGAGACTCAAACCGCATCAGGATTGTTCGCCAGAAAGACGTTCATGCGTACAGGTCAATTATCCTGATCAAAGGCACTAGGAAAGAGGATGAAGGAGAATACCAAGTTTACTGCAAGAACAGGGAGGGCGAAGCCAAGTGTTCGATCTTCCTTAAGATCACGGTACTTTGAACGCTTCATTAACCAATCATAATTTCGATATGTTAGGTATTTTGTTGATGGTTAATTGCCTTATTGCTCTCTAAATTATCAATTCATATTTTCCATTGACGCTTGAGTTTGAAAAATATATGAAGAATATTTTTTAAATGTTAAGTGAGAGAGTTAATATATTTTACACATATTTCATCTCCTAAAAATACCTCTAATTTCACCGCGTGATCAAAACAGGCTCCCGAAGAGCCCGTGTTCGAGGAGCTGTTCAGCGACACCACCGTCGAGGAGCTCGGTACCATACGGCTCGTGGCTCGTATACGGGGCATTCCCACCCCAGACATCACTTGGAGCCGGCAAGTCTCGTATTTATTTATTGGTGTCTTGTTTTATAGAAATTCCTATCTCTCACTTGATCACCTTCTACACGATACTCCCTTTTAAGCGCATTTTCTCATTTATGGAAGAAAGGCGCTATTGTGCTCGCCATGTCCGTCCGTCTGTCCGTTCGTCCGTGACTTCACGTTTTCGTCGACGAGAAAATGCGCTCTCTGTCACTCACTGCAGTGAGTACACTGAGTTATATTTTTCTATGGAAGAAAAATTTTTTATTTATATAATTACGAAGAAATTCCCCAGGTAAACTAACCATTATATTAAACTATATATTTTAAATCCACAATGAAAAATGTTCAGGAACGGCAAGAAGATAAAGCTGGAAAATAACGTGATCGCGCGCTATGGGGATGAGGTGGCTGTACTGGAGGTGCAGCACGCAAGTAAGAGCGACGCTGGCAAGTACGTCTGTACGGCCACCAACAAGATGGGTAAAGTGTCGCACTCTGCGAACGTCACCGTCGGCAGTGATGTCGTGTAAGTTCTCCTCGTATAGTTCTTATATTTAATTTAATTAAAGTCTTAAATTTTATTTAATTATTGAAGGATTCTTAAGATACCTGGTGCATTTAAAAAAAATTAGGTTAATTCTGTTTTCAAATATATTTTATGTTGTGTGAAACTCCTCAGACAGAATTTAGGATGAAAATCTTAAATACTAGTTAGTTTCTCGATGAAATATTAAATTCACTAATCGTTTTTTATTACATCTGAAATTATTCTTGCTTTTTAGTGTAAGATTACGATTTTTGATAACTAAGTTGAATATCTTTTGCTGTTATGTGTTCTTTCTCGAATTTCATATTGAAACGAGGAATCAAGTATTAATGCGACTTAATGAACCTACAATGAATGTTGTGCGGGTGCTGATGGGAATAATTTCAAGCCTTAAATGAAATGTTTGACCTGAGTGTTTCACTCTTTCCTTGATATTGTCTGTTGTTGCTATAGATTCATTTTAATCAATGCTCGAGATTTAATCTCAGAAAAATATGCGATCGAAAACCTAATTGTGAATTTTTTTTCGAAAACCTAATTTAAAAAAAAAAAAAAAAATTTTAGATCACCGCATGTAGTGACGTAAAAGATGTTCTTGTAAAAGATTCAGACAGAATATCATTCAGCCTATAATACTTTTTTATTATTCTTTTGATACAATGAATTGACCAGCAAAATCTAGATTATATTAGCCAAGTTCAAACATTGACAAATGTTCCCTTAAATTGAGGCGTTTCACAATGTAAAAAAATTACACCGTTAACTGTTCCGCGAGCGCTAAAATTCTTTAATAATTTTTAATAGCATCTGCCATTATACATTTGCTTGCGTTCATGGACTTATTTGCGTCGATGCGTTTTCTGCAAGTCACACAACCTTAGTGGCTACACGTGTGATTCCATAAAGGCTTTTTTTATGTCTTCCGTCGTGTCACAAAGCTCATTACTATTGTCAGGGTGCGTAAGTGCAGCACCCTGATGTGCATAATATTTGACAGAGCTCAAAAAATTTACCGGAGGCCTAGTAGACTCAAAGCAAATCGGGTCTGATGGTGAACAAATGAGAGAACATGCATCCTCAGTTTTTGTGCTATCTATGCTTGGACTATGAAACACTGTCATTTATCTGCATCCACCAGCATTTCTTTGCATCATCTAGAATGAATATGCAGATAAACTTTTTTACCCCCGGACCTTTGACAAAATTACAGCCTCCACACACAAAAAAACTGAATTTAAATCTTCCATTTCTTTCATTTCGCGACAAAGATTATTCAGAACTTCACTTTAATACTTTGCTATGTCCACAGTACCTTCAAGAAGGGTCTGGAATCGTGCGTGGTGGAGGAGAACTCTCAGGCGGTTCTGGAGTGCAGGACCAGCCGGGACAAGGAAGTGAAGTGGTGGAAGGGCAAGATGGAGATCACGTCAAGTGAACGCATCACTCTGGAGCACGAGGGTCTCACTCACAGACTCGTCATTCACTCGGCGGCAGTGAACGATACTGGCAAATACAAGTGCACCTTCGATGATCAGTCGACCTGGTGTAACATGACCATCAAACGTAAGCATTTCATATTCAGTCCCAGTAGTAACATGTTACAATTAAGTATGATTGCTGGAAAACCTGTCCGCGCTGTAAAACTGACTATAGAAAGCTAAATGCAATCTGTACGCGGTATGGCAGAACTATTGAACGTGTGCGTGGGGCGGAAAGGTGTCTGTAGATTTACGTTATTGTTCATTACCTTTGTGAGTTTATTTTCATTTCATTTTTCCAAACACTTTTACACAGTAGAAATGTCATTACTAAGAAAGAGATTACAATGTCTTCTTGTCTCTTCTTAGCTTTGGAAGAGTTTGTGCAAAAGCTTCAAGACGTCGAGGTTTTGGAGAAGGACGAAGCTGTGTTGTTCGTCGAAGTCTCATCCGAGAAATGCCAGGTTTCATGGCACAAAGACGGCGAAGAAATCGTCGGTGACGACCGCATGAAAGTTTTGGTAGATGGAAGGATACGAAGACTCATCATTACATCAGCCAGTGTGAATGATGAGGGTGAATATACGTGCGTGCTGGGGGATCTCGAAAGCACGTGCGAACTCACCGTGCGTGAACTACCTGCCGAGATCGTAAAGGATATGACCGACCAGACTGTGAACAAGGCTGAGAAGGCCAGCTTTGCCGTAAGTTATTATTTTGGTTAACTGGATTTTAAAATATTAAAATTTGTTCTAGTAAGATAGTTTGAGTTTTTTTAATATTTAACTACTATTACAAATAATAAGATCCAGTCTTCACTAATTGCTTTACGAAGCTACTACGTACGGTATATGGTTTTCGCATTCCTATTCTCCGAATTCATTCATGTGCCTGAAGTGCTCTGACATTATCTAAAATTAATACTATAAAAGTTACTTCTGAGCACCACTGAACTCTCCAGGTGGAGCTGTCAAAGGGTGACGCAGTAATTACGTGGTACAAAGATGGTTCCGAGATTCGGTTCTCGGACCACTACCAGCTCTCCATCGACGGCAAGGTGCAGCGGCTGCTCATTTACAACTGCCAAGCTGACGACGATGGCGTCTATCGCGCCGTGGTCGGCAAGACTGAATGCTCAGCCAGACTCAAGGTAAAAAGAAATATTTTGAAAATCATGAAGCCATCTTTTTGCATATTTTTTGTTTCCTAAACTTTTCCGCTGCAAAACTACATTTTAACAAGCAGTGGATAAAACCATGACTACGCTTTCATATTTTAAATAATGTGAAGGCAGTTGACCAAAGCTGTGGACACTAAGCGAATGAAATTCCTTTTTCTGCGACAATTTCTTGTTTGTTCACGCGGGACTTCAATGGTGAGTCCTCAAGAGTCGGCATAGGTTAAGGAGACTTTCAACTTGGCTGTAAAGAAAATAAAAAGCAATTTTCAACGCCATCGTTTTCCATGACGCAATATACAATCCGCCTGATTTTGAACAACTTAATTATTGTTGCCTGCATGAACCCTAGACAACATTACTTAGTATGGGTCTCCATTTCTTTATGGGATTCTTACATTAGAAGAAATATTCTGCTCTGCTTTCACACGTAGTATAGGTCTTGAGAAGTATTGATCTCATCAATTCTAATTAACACGCATAATTCCGGTAGTAAGAAATTCCAAGAGTAGATGCCAAATATATTCACTAGATCTCTTAAGTTTCGTAAATTGAGTATAGTAGCGAACCAAAATGTTGCTTGAACTCTTCCAAGTTGCATGTGCAAGCATGTCATTAATTTCTTCTGAATCAATTTTGAACGTACTCTGACAAATTTAGTTTCTTCTGACTCCTTAATAATCCGAGTTTTTTATGTGTTATTTAGGATCTATTGACAACATTTTTTGTTTCAAATCCCAAAGGTCGAAGGCCAAATTGAAGGCGACTTCCTGAAGAAGCTGCCGCCCCAAATGGACGTAATATCGTCGACTGATGCTGAATTTACCGTAGAGATTACCAAGGAACAAAGTGATGTTACGTGGCTCAGGTTAGTCGTTGGATATTATAACAAAATATTCTGCAGTAATATGTAGTAATTCTGAGAAACCCGTCAGCCCCAATCTGTCATTAGTAAAATTTAAATAACTGTCTTTTAAGGATATCAGTTCGAAATTTTATATTGGATTCGTTTTACAAAAATATTCGATAGAAGTAATGTTTATGAAAAATTTTCTAGATAGCGATTAATAACAAATGCATCAGGTAAAATTTTTAGCCAAGATTCGACGAAAATTATTCCTTGCGACAGCTCCTTGTGAAATCATTAGCTATGAATAGAAATTCTTGTAGATCCTAATGTTCTTCTGTCAAGAGAGATTTGGTCCTAGTATTCGTACAAAACGAGAACTTTTACCACGATATCGCAACCTTCGCTTTAAAAACAGACATAAATAAGTCACAATTTCCTGTAATCAGGATTGACAATTAAAAAGTGTTCTTTTCTGTGATTAATTTTATCCCACAATGTACTATCCAAAAAGTTTGTAAGAAAAAATTGAAACTTTTGAAACATAAAATAAAAACTTTCAGAAATGGTGAGGAAGTTTCGGCAGATGCGCGTTTCATCCTGAAGAAGCAAGGCAAGAAACGCACGTTGATCGTGAAGACCGTCACACTGGAAGACGCTGCCGAGTACACATGCGTATTGGGCAGTCTTAAGACCTCCTGCCGCATGACTGTGCTGGGTAAGACCTCCTGCCGCATGACTGTGTTGGGTAAGACCTCCTGCCGCATGACTGTGCTGGGTAAGACCTCCTGCCGTATGACTGTTGGGTAAGACCTCCTGCCGTATGACTGTGCTGGGTAAGACCTCCTGCCGTATGGCTGTGCTAGGTAAGACCTCCTGCCGCATGACTGTGCTGGGTAAGACCCCCTGCCGCGTGACTGTGCTGGGTAAGACCTCCTGCCGTATGACTGTCCTGGCTAAGACCTCCTGCCGTATGACTGTGCTGGGTAAGACCTCCTGCCGCATGACTGTGCTGGTAAGACAGGCGTACTATTTAGACTACTGTCTTGACGGTACGCCTGTCTGTACGGTGCGCCTGTCTGCATGGTACGCCTGTCTGCGGTGCGCCTGTCCGTACATTAATAATTTCGTCAGTACTCCCCATGTAACGCCAGGGGTATTATTCATGATTCCCGGATAACTGTTCTCAAAATAAAGCCTTAAACAAAATTTCTTTCCATCTAATTTACGTCCAGGAACACAAATCGTCGCAAATTAAAGTCGAGAATTCATATGCGCAGCTGAAAAGCTAATTATTAAATATCATCATTAGAAACGTACATCCATCTATAAGAATGATTGATGTTAATGCTCCGATTCTACTTTGTAGAAGTCAAAAGATTTGATGAATAATTGTCCAATGTATCTATTAATTTATATAAAAGGATTAATAATTTCCACCTAAATAGGACAACACTGTATTGAACCATAGAGGCTCTATATATGTTTATTTGGATGAATTTATAGCGCATTTTTTCATTTATGGACAAAAGGCGCTATTGTGCTCGTCATGTCCGTCTGTCTGTCTGTCCGTCCGTTTATCCGTCCGTGTTTTCATCGACGAGAAAATGCGCTCTCTGTCAATCATTGCAGTGAGTACTGAGTTAAATTTTGTTTACATTTTCGTCAGTCAAAAGACTTGATGAATGATTGTACAATGTATCTATTAATTTATATAAAAGGATTAATGAATTTCCCCTTATATAGGACATCACTGTATTGAACCATAGAGGCTCTATATTTGTTTAAATGGATGAATTTTTTGCCCAGTGCTGGAATCAGCGCCGGTGATCGAGAGATCATCCATCACGACGGAGTTTGTGGTCATTAAGGGCACAGACGTGACCTTCACGGTGCCTTTCAAGGCCACCCCTCAACCTACCGCCCTCTGGACCCACAGAGGGAAAACTATCAAAGAATCCAAGAGGGTAAGATCAATGATCCAATCCAAAATTCAAAAGCAATTCCGGATCCAATCCGGAATTGCTTGACATTAAATTTCAAACAGGGAAAGGATATCGAGGGTTTAAATTTGTTACCATAACATGACGGTTTTGCAATGTAACGAAACGATTTTGTAATGATTGAGATGTAACGAAATTAGGTGACATTTTCAATAGCGCCCATGCCTGTCAATTGCAAAAAATAAAATTATTTAGTCAGTATGAACAGAATTTCTACCTCAGAGGCCAGTTCTATCTCAGGAGTCTCTTCCACTTCATGGTAAAATTATCAACACATAATTTTAAGTTTCAACGCTCAGCATTTTTGTCCACCTACTGCTCATTTTTAATCAGGAAATTTTTATTCCATTTTGATGGAATTGACTGTGCTACACCAATTAACACCTTGACTACTTATTTTCCATCAATCAAATGTAGCTACAATAGTTACTATAATTTCAATATCGGCACAATGACAATATTAATATTATTTTGCTCATCCCCAATCAGAATAAATAACTTAATTTTCATTCGCAGTTGTTGCCCAAGATCTCAGAAAACGTAGCAACGTTCACCATATACCAAGTTGAGAACGTCGACTGTGGAGAATACGTTCTTAAGCTCGTCAATAGCTGCGGTGACGTCACTATTGACTTCGTTCTTAAGATTCTCGGTACGTGTTTAGAAATTTCATATTCTTTACTACCGAATTAATTGTCAAGGATGAGGTTCTTCTCCTTGTTGAAGTGTTTAAAATTAATTTTATTTTCCCTAAGTTTGCGTTAGAAATGATCTGTTCACCAATTTAGAAAATTTGGTCCTATCTCGTCTTTTTAGCGCATTTTCTCGTTTATGAAAAAAATGCTTTATTGTGATCGTCATGTCCGTCCGTCTGTCTGTCCGTCCGTCTGTCTGTCCGTCCATGACTTCACGTTTTCGTCGACGAGAAAATGCGCTCTCTGTCACTCACTGCAGTGAGTACTGATCTAATTTTTTAAATCTTTGATCACCTGTGAAATGTTGTACCCCGTTGAAGAATGACGAAAAGATTGGCTGTTACGTCAAATTGGAAAGAAACTTCCAATTGTAACTTTGTTTCCCAATTAAATGCATCGCTCCTTCCTACGGTTTTACCGTAATAGTTATGCGAAAATTTGTGCATAACTGTTGTAAAAACCTTTATATTGTGCTCTAATTTCTGGTTCACTTGCGTCAACCCAGCGTCTTCAGAAGTTTTCGATTATTTTACAAAAACTTGTTTGTGTGCCATGAAAAAACACGATGCATTTAAGGCGGTCATTCATTTGCGCTATCCCATTCATATAATAAAAATTTAAATATAATTTTATCGCCAAATAACTATACTGTTCACTCTTTCACAATGCTGTTGGCCATGAATTATTGATATTTATTTATTTAAAAAAAATAACTATTATACAAGCTTCTTTTATATTTCATTCTGCACAAATGATGTATTCCCCAGCTGAGTCACAACCAAGGCTGCGAAAGTGACCGTCGGCCATTACTCGGTTTATTATCATTATTCGACTGCCATTATTTATATTAATTTCTGTTATCTTTTCGCATTTTTCATTTACCTTGCTTCTATATATGTAAATTAATTGAGATAATTGAAAGTCTGCGCACACGCAGAATAGTGACCTAATATTCTACCACCAGCTGGCGGTAAATTTTTGAATTTTATTTTCTTTGAATTTTATTTCCCCGAATTAGCCGTAATTTTTCCCCCTCGTGACAGACAAACCCTCGAAGCCCGGGACCCCCGAGCCCCTGAAGGTAACAGACGACTCGGTCACCCTCTTGTGGCGCGCCCCTGAGGACGACGGAGGCCGCGTCATTACTAACTACATAATTGAATACACGTTAGTTATTAGATAGTTATTTATTATTATTATTATTAGCAATATGTGTGCTATATATAAGTGTGTTACTAGCGATAACATAATTATCGCTATTATTATGTATGTGTTTACTTGTGTGTCAAGGTGACAGTGGTATATATTTTTAGAATACCGAATTGATTTTATGTAATTTTTCACTTGTATTTGAAGCATGGCATTAAATTTGATCTATTTCTCTAATTGAATGTTGGAAGATTCTTCTCTTCTATTTGAAAGGGACAGACAAATTTATTTTCCTCATAAGCGGCGATTCTTATCAAGAAACATTAAGTACTTGCATATGCTGGAAAATGCACATCATGGGAAAGTGCAGGCAATATGTACACTAACAGGTGGATGGATGTGAGATGAGTCCACCTGAAGAGCTAAACTATGTGTGCTATGTAGGAATTATGCATTGTAATAATTTTATAATGTGATAATACTAAATTATGTTATTTACTATTACCTTTTTAATACTTAGAGCCTAGAAAAAATACGAAATGTTAGCCAGTAATTCACTCCCGATTTGTCGATGCGAGTGTCACGCACCTAGTATCTTACACAGAAGTCTAACGGCTATTTAAACTGGGTTAATTTTAATTTAATTTTAATTTAATTTAATTAATTTAATTAATTAAATTTAATTAATTTAATTTAAATTTAATTTTAAGTTAATTTAATTTAATTTTTTTTAATTTTTACAAAGTGGAATTTATTCATTTTAAACTTACCGAAGGGCCAAATTTTTTGCAAAATGAAATTTATTCGTTTTAAATCGGCCTTGACATCGCGTGGATATGAATGGGTGATATATGAATCATTGCCTTCATATCTGAATTGATTATACATTGCACTGATGGTCGCATCCATCGATACTCACCCAGATTCCGTAAGGAGACGCGTTGGGTGGAGTACACCACGAAGGAGGAGGTGAGGGAGACCACAATCGTCGTGTCCGGGCTCACCAAGAACCAAGAGTACAGCTTCAGAGTCGCCGCTGTCAACGAAGTCGGCACTTCTGAGTACTCGGAACAGTCTGAATACATCAAGGTGGGGCGAGACGGTGTTTATACTTCATATATAGATAGTAAGCTACATTAACTGACGAAGTGTCATTGCAGTAGAATAGAATAGTAGTGTCGGCACTGAAGAAATAGCCCATGGCCTGTTGCCGATTCATGTACTTTTCGTGACTTGATTCCACAACGGATCCGGCTTTTCGAACCCGACCTTTCCATAACTGACAAATGATTGAGATAGCTGCTGGACTTATTAAAATAGCAAAATTAGGTTTGCGCTAGTTAATAACACAATATGAGTGGATTAATTTTCGTAATAAATCAATACAGGTAGCAGAACCGATCAGGCCTGAGGCTCCCGAAGTTCGTGAACTTCTTCAGCCCGTAGTGACAGGCCTGCGCCAAACTATCGTACTGCGCTGCGTGATCACGGGCACGCCGCTGCCAGACATCACCTGGACCAAAGACAACAAGACTATCACCAAAAATTTGACCTACGAAAACTACACCGCTACACATACCATCAAGGAAACTAACTCCACCACCTCAGGCACCTACTCCTGTAGGGCAGAGAACTCAGCTGGTTCTGCGGAGACTAGTGCTACTGTCGTTATACAGGGTTCGTTGTTCGTTGTTTATGAGATGATTCATATTGAAATCTGAACAAGAAATTTCATCAACTTTGGTAATTTTTATAGTTTATTTAAGTGTTATTTCTTATTTATTAATTAGCTTCCAACAAGAACAATCAATTGGAAGCGAGGAATAAAAAATACACATTTGCACCAGCGTATATTATTTTAGAGGTACTTTTTTCATTTTTGAAGGCTACGATTTTCTTAAATAGGTAATTGTTATTAATTGTAATATGAAAATTCATGAAACAGTGTGAACATTTTAGATAATGAAGCTTATTTAACTTATTGGTAATAATCGGATAATGACCCCGCGGTTTTAAACTTAAAATAAGCTTAGAGGGTCCTGTAAATTTACGCCGGCTACCATGAATAGTTTCATACGACGCAGCCACGATTTTCTCCATAGCAAACTTCAGTCAAGTCCAACGTTGCTAAGACGCTATGTATTTCACATGTGAATTTATTTTAAAAAATTCAATAATCCCGAAGAATGTGCCAAAGTTAAACTTAGCTGCCAAATTTAATTATTGCCATTAATTAGGTGTTTTTCATGAAGTAATCACAATCACTCCGGTCCTTTAATGATGACCAAGCCATTGTTTTCGCGAACAGAAGCGCCAGCCTTTGAGTTCGACGAAAAGTCGCAAGCGCAGCGGCTGGTGGTGGGTGATCGCTGGCACATCCCCATCAAGGTGACGGGCTTCCCCCAGCCCAAGATCACCTGGACCTGCAACGACCAGCCTATCCAGGTTTGTTCCTAACTTTAAGTTCAATATAATTAATTTAAGGTTTGAATTAAACTTAGACCAACCTGGAAAGATGATATGGCTATCTGTATTTTGAATTTTCCAATAGCTGTAAAAATTTGGATGCTCTGGTGATTGTTTTTATAATTATTTCTGGCTAAGTTTCGCGTCAGCGGTGCTCCGCGTTTCGTTGTCCTAATAATTGTATAGTTTTTAGTCTTCGTAATCTTGTTTGTTCAAGGGCATGTAAATCATAATATTTATTTTCATTTGAAGGTCAACCGTAAGTTATTATTTGTCTTCACCCCAGTTTTCCACGAATTATTTCATGCATGTGGCAGGCGTTCGCTCGCGTCGTGGTTCACGTGGAGGAAGACGAGGGTCTCACGGACATCGCCATCCAGAAAGTGTCGCGCGAGGACGGCGGCTTGTTCTCCGTCAGCGCTCAGAACTCCGCTGGCAGGGCGACGATGAGTTTCAACCTCAGGGTCGATGGTAAGATCAACGCGAATATTACTTATCGGTCCTCATATTTTTTTGGTATTGAGTGTACAGTTTACACTTTTATTTCAGTCGCTCAAAGAAAATTTTCTAAGACGCCGTTCTGTCTGTAAGATGAAACGTTTAGACAAATTAGGGCGATTTCCTGATTTTTTTCAGATTTCCATGCTACGGATATCATTAGCTATCAAATGCATTTAAATGCGAAACACCGTGGGACTTTACGGTAATCAATTTTCTCTTTATTTTACATGCGAAGTTTTAGCTTGTCCATACAAGTTCAAACAGTTTAACGAATTGAAAACTCTGTACGCTAAAGTTTTATCAATTGCTCATTTACTTCTAGCTCTTAATTCGTGCACTGAATTTTCATCGTCCCATTTATGACCTCAAACACTCGCACTGTATGGTGAGATTTTAGTTGTTGAGAAATTATTTCTCGTAAATTAGTGTTTTATTCATATATGATGCAGGAATCTCGTAATAATTCGTCATGGCCTGCCTTAGGGTACGCACACAGTGAAAGCAGGTTGCCAGCGTGCTGGTTACCTGCTCAGGCTGGCGCCTGAAACCATAGAATACAGAAGCCTATTCGTACAGGTTTTCACTGTGAACACTTACATTATTATTCTATGTTCATTCTTGTGGCAGGTTGGAGCAGGTTGCCCGCGCGGGCAAACCTGCTTTCACTGTGTGCGTACCCTCAGAGACCAAATCAGACTAATATATGACAAGCTCCAAAGAGCACGGATGAAATATCTGGCCTAAGTCACCATAGGTTCAGCAGTGGCGAGTGACAGTGTTTTCATGGTTTAAAGTTACCTCAATTTGCGAACTGCTAGGAAAAAATCAAAAGAATTTTACGAGATTTTTGTTACTAGTCTTGTAGATACGTTACCACTCACCTTATTTCATCTAGTACAAAGTGGAAATTTTTTTAACTCTCTGAAATCGTCGTATAGTACCATGTTGTCCTAAACCAACTAACATGTTATCTATCAGGTCTAAATTTTATAACTTATCAGTTCATAGAACTACAAAAACTGCAATTTATTTAATTTGAATTTTATTAAAAAACTTCTCTGTAAATGAATTTCTACTTATGTTATGTTAAACATGGATAAATATCATTCAACTTCTATGCATTCAATTTAATTTTGGGCTTCAGTCGAACATCATTCTTTAACTCAGTCTATTGCTGTTCTCTGCAGCTGTTTAATTTATGCTGCTGTTGGTATTGATCTCATTTATTTAATTAATTGGTCAACTACACGGCGTCTTTTTCTAAACTTAATTTGCTAAAAAAGTTGATTTTGTCTAATCGCCACTTCCCAAATAATTATTATTTTCCTCCTGCGTTCTGAAAATATGTTCTGAGTATATGAAATTTCTCATTATATGTATTAGTGTATTATACTAGTCATTTATTTTTGTCTTATTTCTGTCATGATTTCTATTATCTGCATAGCGTTTCATAAATTTTGTTATTTAGTGTCCAGCGTGTGTCTTATTTTTTGATTAGAGTAATTCATCAATCGATTATGTTGGTATACGTATTACTAAAATTGTACATAGTTATTCTCTCTCCTGGTTAATTGTTTTCTGATACTACTTAACACCATTTCTTTCCTTCTTGAAATTGCACCAGAAGAGGAAATCGTCGAGAAGGAGATCGTCAAAGGTGAGTTTAGAGTGTACCCCATCGTCTCCTTTGTTGGTCATGGCTATGCGCATTGTCAGAATTACTGAGGCCATTGAAACGATGTATATTTTACATGCAGGTTTCTGGTCGCTATACAGCGGTTATCTTCCCATGAAATTAGTTTTTTTTTTCGTAGCTTTTTATTTGTGGAGTCGAGTGTTTCTCTTGTGGCAGATATATCATCGCCTGCCTGATAAAATCTCTTGACAATCAGCAGCTGCAGAGAAGCTCTTTGGGACAATTTAGAGGTTAAATTTTCTAGAACTTTAAATTGAACATTTTAGCAGCAATGAGATTCCTCTAAACACGATTCTCATCAATGCGATTTCGAACGGTTATGAGAAAGTAAAACTACTAACCTGTAGTGAAAACTTCTTTATTAGGCTTCTGATATATTATTCTGTTCATGCGTGCAATTCGAATGCACCTCTGAAAAACATATCTGTGTATGCCTTACTTCGAATTTGCCTTATTCATATATTTTTTAGATTTTTCCGTCTCCCATTGAGCGCTGGTAGTATTATGTGCGTTATCAGTTTATTGTTGTCACTTTTGCGTCGTTCGAACATTGTTGACGATTTTCTGCTGTCTTTGAAGATGTTTTGGTACTGTGATGGTCGTTTAATGATTCCCTGATTTTGATGATGTTTAAAATATTATCCCAAGCGTTATGACGTTTAGTTCAATTTATTTGTGTTATAAAATATTTATAATGTGCTCATTTTTCAAAATCATAGCTTATTAAAATGCTGATTTTTCCAATAACCGGTTACGTTCAGATGAATCTTGTACGAGTATATGTCTGGCTTTGCTCATTTGAATTGCTCTTTCTCTGAAATTTTTATAGCTGCCATCAAATGATAATTTATTTAAATTTAATTTAATCGACATACATATCCCTTAATTTGATCTCCACTTCTTTACCCAGAACGTCCAGCGGCTCCTGGAGGGCCTTTGGAGTTCTCCGAAGTAACCACAAGTTCCGTAAGAATCAGCTGGCAACAATCCCCGGATGACGGCGGTTCAGAAATAACGTCCTACTACATCGAGAAGCTCGAGAAGGGTCAGAAGCAGTGGCAGAAGGTGGCTGAAGTTGAGCCTCATATCTTCACGTACGTCGTTCAGAACCTCAGCGAAGGACGCGAATATTGCTTGCGAGTTTTCGCGCTGAACGCAATTGGGCTTTCGGAGGCGCTCGAGGCTTCCGAGACCGTGTACATCAAGTCGCCTTTCAGTGAGTAAATGTAGTTGAAATTTGATATTTTTATGTGAGGGACATGTTATTATGTAAATCTAATACATAGTGGGTCTAAGAAACATTTTCGAACTGTAAATAACTTTCATTTGTTTTTATCTTGAGGTATCCTTTAAGTAAAAGGTCCTTAAGTCAGGCATTTTACTGAGAAATTTCAAAAGATAAGTAAATAGTACAATATTTTTCAATTGTTAAATTGCTGATACCATGAAAAATTGAATAAAATGTCAATTTATCCTAGAAAACCGGTTACCAGCATTTCATTGGCGCATTACAGTTTTAGGGAATGGTTGTGAAAAGTTGATTTTTTGTCAAATAAGACCCTGCCGCACACTTGATGAAAAACTGTGCGCCTATTGTTTTGTTTTGTTATAAGCTGATCAGAAAAATTAGGAATGTTTAAAATTTTCTAATTTCTCTACCTTTTCGTAAATTAATCCTGTAATTGTTTCTTTACAAAATTTTGCCCTCTTAAGATTTAATATTGAAAGTTCTCATCTGTAATGGATACTCTTCCAGACCATTTTGGTCTTCTTGCATTGAAGCTTTTCTCTGGCAGGGCACAATATCTCTTAAAAGAGAAAATGAGAGTACGTACATTGTGAGAGTACCCACATTGTGAGATGCCCACATTGTGAGAGTGCCCACATTGTGAGATGAACACATTGTGAGAGTGCTTCTATTGTGAGTGTATCTATAATATGAGAGTATCCATATTTTTAAAGTTGACCCTAGTTCTCCCGTTCTTATTATAAGGGTCAACTCAATAATTATAGAAAGTAGGGTTAATTTGGCCCCAATTCTCCCGTTATAATCATAGCACTACTACTTCATTGTAAATCAGTATGCATAAGACTCAGAAAATCCTTTTTTCAAATTCGTCAACTCTCAACTTATGCGTTGATGGATTTTTAAATGAATATTTTATACCATATAATAATTTCAATAATTTTCTGGGGGATGAATAAATCTGAGATGAAGTGAATGCGACAGGCAACGAACAATTCACAGCTTATGTTATTCCCTCCCGTAGATCCCCCTGGACCGCCCCTGGGGCCGTTCGACGTGACGGACATGGCAGAGACAAGTCTGGTGCTGCACTGGGACGAGCCTCTGGACGATGGAGGCTCGCCGATAACAGGCTACCTCATCGAGCGTCGCACGGCCATGAAAAAAGCCTGGCAGAAGATAGGAACAACTGCTGAGAATGTGACGCATTTTGAATGCACGGGTTTGAAGAAAGGATACACTTATTTCTTCAGGGTGTTTGCTGTTAATGTGGCCGGGCAGGGACCTCCTCTACAACCTGATGAGGCTATCACTGCCGGCAAGAAACTTTGTGCGTAGAAAAATAGGATTTTTTACTATGGTTTCATTCGATGCTTGCAAGACGCGAGTTTTTTTTCGATGCCTGATTTGTTCTTTTTTTACTCTTGGCGAATCGCGATCGAATAAATTCAATGGTCTGGTGGAATGCCAGAATATTGATTCTCATAAATATAATGTTTTTTTTTCTTAAAAATTGTGGTTCATTTTTTAATCATTTACGTTAGTTTGAGGCATTCTTGTCTGTCAAAATACAAAAATTTCCATTCCAAAATTATAATCGGCAAAATATTATTGCAATTATTATTTCATCATGGAACCATGCTGCATTTATCATAATTTATCATATAGATTTTCGTTGCTTGCAAGACGCGAATAATTCTCTGTTTTGTAATTATGCCATTAATTTGTTAACAAGTGCTCTAAATACTACTTCAAATATTGAAATATTGTGATAACTTTTCATGCATGATTTGTCTATTTAGAAATTTGTGCAAGTTAATCCACTTTTTCTCCGTCTTCATTGTGTGGGATTTCCCCCAATATAGCTTTTATGCTTGAGACCATTCAATCTGCTTAAGATTCTATGCTCAGAAAACTATGTGTGCTTCATATACAGTTGTCATTAGAGGCTTGAATTCGCGATCGTTCCTAACTTTATTAAATAATATCACTAAGTGAAGAGATGGGACAAGAAATAATCTGTTGCATGTTAAATTTTAAACATGGTATACATTTTGATTCTTGCCTCTGCAATGATTATATTAATATCATCTTCAGGGATAATAATATAATGATTGCCTTCACTGCTTCACGAGATTAAGCATGTGACTAAGCATATGCGAATAATAAATTATATTTTATTGAAAGGTTAACTGGAATTAAGCAAAAGAAATAATTGCGCGATTGTTAGGCTATTTAAATGTTTGAGGGACCAGTCTGACTCCGGGTGTGTTTGTAATTGTTGTGCATGATCATTGTTGTGCCTAACATTTGTTTGAGATTCGTGTTGCATGTGAAATATATTACTGTAATAACTTAGCACGCACAACTTTTGTCTCAATTTATTGTTTCGTATCAAATCGTTTCGTCTGATCCTTGTCACGTGTACGGTAGTTTTGTCAGATTATTGTTGCACGAATATGTCATAGTGAGATTAAGTTTACAGCAACATTTCATCTCATGAATAATAATCTTTATTGATGTCTGGACGACAACAGCCGTGCCCAGCAAACCCAACGGTCTGACCGTCATCGATGTCACCTCCAAGACCGTCACGCTCGGCTGGTCTCCACCGTCCACCACTGGAGGAGCCGACCTCATAGGTCTGTACTACAAGACACTTGTTTAGTAACGTAATTCAACTTCTGTTTGATTATATTTTCGTTTAGTAACGTAATTCAACTTCTGTTGTTTGATTCTATTTTTGTTTAGTGACGTAATTTAACTCCTGTTGTTTGTTTCTATTTTTGTTTAGTAACGTAATTCAACTTATGTTGTTTGATTCTTTTTTTTTTTTGTTTAGTGACGTAATTTAACTTCTGTTGTTTGATTATATTTTTGTTTAGTGACGTAAGTCAACTCATGTTGTTTGATTACATTTTTGTTTAGTAACGTAATTCAACTTCTGTTGTTTGATAATATTTTGTTTAGTGACGTAATTCAACTTCTGTTGTTTGATTATATTTTTGTTTAGTGACGTAATTCAACTCCTGTTGTTTGATTATATTTTTGTTTAGTAACGTAATTCAACTTCTGTTGTTTGATAATATTTTGTTTAGTGACGTAATTCAACTTCTGTTGTTTAATTCTATTTTTGTTTAGTAACGTAATTCAACTTCTGTTGTTTGATAATATTTTTGTATAGTAACTTAATTCAACTTCTGTTGTTTGATTATATTTTTGTTTAGTAACGTAATTCAACTTCTGTTGTTTGATTCTATTTTTGTTTAGTAACGTAATTCAACTTCTGTTGTTTGATTATATTTTTGTTTAGTAACGTAATTCAACTTCTGTTGTTTGTTTCTATTTTTGTTTAGTAACGTAATTCAACTTCTGTTGTTTGATTATATTTATGTTTAGTAACGTAATTCAACTCCTGTTGTTTGATTCTATTTTTGTTTAGTAACATAATTCAACTCCTGTTGTTTGATTCTATTTTTGTTTAATAACGTAATTCAACTCCTGTTGTTTGATTATATTTTTGTTTAGTAACGTAATTCAACTTCTGTTGTTTGATAATATTTTGTTTAGTGACGTAAATCAACTTCTGTTGTTTGATTCTATTTTTGTTTAGTAACGTAATTCAAGTTCTGTTGTTTGATAATATTTTTGTATAGTAACGTAATTCAACTTCTGTTGTTTGATTATATTTATGTTTAGTAACGTAATTCAACTTCTGTTGTTTGATAATATTTTGTTTAGTGACGTAATTCAACTTCTGTTGTTTGATTCTATTTTTGTTTAGTAACGTAATTCAACTTCTGTTGTTTGATAATATTTTTGTATAGTAACGTAATTCAACTTCTGTTGTTTGATTCTATTTTTGTTTAGTAACGTAATTCAACTTCTGTTGTTTGATTCTATTTATGTTTAGTAACGTAATTCAACTCCTGTTGTTTGATTCTATTTTTGTTTAGTAACGTAATTCAACTCCTGTTGTTTGATTATATTTATGTTTAGTAACGTAATTCAACTTCTGTTGTTTGATAATATTTTTGTTTAGTGACGTAATTCAACTTCTGTTGGTTGATTCTATTTTCGTTTAGTAACGTAATTCAACTTCTGTTGTTTGATTCAATTTTTATTTAGTAACGTAATTCAACTTCTGTTGTTTGATTCTTTTCTTGAAGTATGACCTATTCGAGTTGTGCAAAATTATTTATAGAATGCTGTATGTAATGTGACAGCACTTACAACGTGCACCAAATAGCGCATGCATGCCATGTGGAAGCAAAACATGCGGTAAAACATGAACAAGTGTTGTCACATTAATTGTTGCATATTCTTTACATTTACCCAGTATTGTTCCAAACTCTCAGGATCGAGGTTAAAGTAACTCTTCCACATCTTTATAGAAAACGTTTCGGAGTCCACCCAGGATATAAATGAATTTTTGAGAAAGAAAGATATGAATTTTTGTGGACTATTCATTGCTTGTAAATTTTATTATCTATTTTATAATAAATAATATATATATATTACCGTTGACATTACGTCCACGTACAGGTTACGTGATCGAGAAACGGCTGACGGAAGAGTCGGCTGTGTGGGAGAAGGTAGACACCGTCGACGCCTCAGTTACGCTCTACTGCGTCGAGAACCTCAAAGAAAAATCCGAATACGAGTTCAGAGTTTTTGCTGAGAATCCTGTTGGCCTCTCGGAGGAGGCTGCAGTCACTGAATATGTCCTCCTCAAGACACACGCTAGTGAGCCTCTATATATTGTGATTTTACTGACTTCTTGAGTATAATGTGCTCTTGGAGTGTGGCTTGGATATTTGTGTGTCAATCTAATCATTTTTAGGTACACAAAGACTTTAAAATCTCGAAATACTCACAATCGCTTTAATGTTTCTGAGAGCTTTTCTTATCCAGGCTTAAAAAGGATTGGAGCCAAGGCATTTTTGCTAAAACTTAAATTATATTTTTTACCAAGTGCTTTTACTAACCATACCTCCGATGCCGTAGCTCCACCATCACCACCCACGGCCCCACTAGAGGCGCGCCCCACGGGCCCCTCCAGCCTAATGATCGAGTGGGGCGCTCCAGAAAGCGACGGTGGGTCGCCGCTGCTGGGGTACATCATCGCCATTAGGGACGTCAAGAGAACCATGTGGATAGAAGTGGGTCAGGTGGACGCAAACTTCACCAGACTACACATAAAGGAGGTCCAGGTTAGTGCCAGATCTAGATAATAACCAATTGGAGGGTTACATCATCAGTGGCCTTACTGGGGGTCTTGGTCAGCGTCATGTTTAGATTAATGCAATATGAAGGTTTTCATCATCAGTGGTATGCGGAGAGGTCTAGTTCATTGGTTGCTCTGATGCAAAAGAAGTCGAGTGGTTCTGCCTTCTTCATTGTGGATAGGAATAAATGTCTTATGCTATGAGCACAAGCTTTCGCATATGCTATGTGATTGGAGTGGTCGAGTGGTCATTCATGTTTCTCTGTTAGTTTATAACTCTTCCCGCTTAGATGTGTCATATTATGAACTACTTGAGGCCTTGCCGTGTTCATAGCCCATGAAACCATGAAAGGCTTCAGAAGTTCCACAGCTACTACCCTATCACACATAACAGCCTATTACCCCTACTAACCTATCACACCTACCACTCTATCACGCTGACTACCCGATCACACCTAATAACCTATCACACCTACTACCCTATCGCATCTTCTACCTTATCACACCTACTATCCTGTCACACCTACTACCCTATCACACCTACTACCTTATCACATCTACTGCCCCGTCACACCTACTACCCTATCCCGCCGACTACCAAATCACACCTACTACCCTATCACACCTACTACCCTATCACGTCTTCTACCTTATCACACCTACTATCCTATCACACCTACTACCCTATCACACCTACTACCCTATCACACCTACTACCCTATCACACCTACTACCCTATCACACCTACTACCCTATCACACCTACTACCCTACCACCTCTACTACCCTATTACACCTACTATCTTATCACACCTACTACCACTCATACTACCCCATCACACTACTGCCGTATCGCATCTACTGCCCCATCACACCTACTACCCTATCACACCTACTACTCTATCACTCCTACTACCCTATCACACATACTACCTCATCACACCTACTATCTTATCTAATTCCGTTTCCGAACAACGACCGACGCGTCCTTTGTGCTTCCTCGGCAGGAGGAGCACGAGTACAACGTGCGGGTGTTTGCACGCAACGAAATTGGTGCCAGCGACCCGCTGCAGACTGAGGAGCCTGTTAAGATCATTCAACCTGACGGTTAGTGTGTTTTAACCTTTATACATTCCTTAATGCAACCTTAATAAATTCCCGAAGAACTTTTAGCAGTGTGATTAACTAAAATGTAGCTCTGCTTTTCGTTTCATTTTTCATTTTCTAAAATTCATTTATTTTGAATTCCAGTAAGAAGTAAAGTTGGACCGTTGTAAAGTTGAAGTATTTCCTTTTAAATCACGGATTGATTTTAAATAAAACTTATCTAATGGTCAGTTAGAAGCTTACTCCCACAATTGATTTTTAAATTTTTTTTTAAATTTGCATCTAGGACGGATTGACTGAGATATGACCAGCCTTGTAAGATTCATTTACGAGTATAAAATGACGCCTCACATCCAACGTACATACTTTCTCAAAAAACTATATGCAAAATGAAAAATCTCGGAAACTTAAATTGTTTATCTGTTCGTTTAACGCAGTTTAATCCCGCAAATAACTGAGCTATAATATCGTTAAACAAATCCTAACATCACTGAAATAACAAAATTAGTGAATTCCTTCTCTTACTATTCTGTTACACGTACAGTGTTCGAAATAACCATGAAAAAACGGTCTCACCGGCGCTCCAGCCATCGGCCGCCCGTGAAAAGAAACTGTTTCACCGATTTTTTCAACTGTTGTAGGGGTTTCTAGAGTTAAATTAAAAAAAGCGGGGGCACGGTGTTTGTTTCTCAGTTGCCTGCCATTCACTGAAATGCCGGCTATGCCGTTTCATGGTGATTTTTCTAAAAGTGTATATTTATTACTAAAACTAACAAAATATGAATAAAAGAATTATAACCTTCTCCGTTCAGTGAGTAGTCTTTTTCTGGCTGTATTTCTCACGCCGGATATTACTTAAGGCCAGACATGATCGTTCAATGCTTAAAGCCGGAGATCGCCTTGAATTTTTAATCGTGCACTCTTGTCTCTTTTTTTACCAAGTCAAATAGAAGGCCAGAGATCCTTCACCGCGTCTACTAACTTCAGTTAATGCGCTGTGCCAGAACACATCTTGAAACTTGGGCTTAATCCCAAATTCGTTAGATATCTCGATTTTTCTTCAGATCGGTCACATATCTCATAGTTGTTCTTAATATCGGTCATAGATTTCAAAATTTACCTTATTATCGGTTATACATCTGATAATTTTTATGAAGATCGTTCGCACACCTTATAATTTTCCTTACAATCCGTAAAATATCGTATAATTTTCTTAAAGATCGACAGTCCTTAATTTTCCAATCACTATAAAATATTTTAGTTAGCAGCTTCCGGGAGTGCATTGGGTTTCCTGCAATCGCATGGACTAGGATCCATGCTTCGTAGTTAGCTTACATTAATTTTTGCTTCTATCTTTGTTTTACATTAGATAAAATAATATACCGTTTCTGTTTACCGATATCAAGTTTTCTCGTTTGAACACTCACAAACAATGTCAACTCCCGTTTGTGATAATGAAAGTATTTTTAACAGTCCATGGCCTGAGATTGCGTTTACTGCGTTGATCTCTCTCATCTCTTTGCATGAAAATGTTTCATTTCATTATATTTGTACGATCATTGTACTTTACTCTTCATCTTCCATGATATATATGGTAAAAATAAATCTGACGATAATTTTATTGAACTGAATACGTTGCTGGATTTTGAAAATTATTGTTGGTTTGTGACACTTCTTTAAAACTTCCTATGCAGATATTAGTGTGTAAACAACTCTCATGCTCATAGTTAAGCCAATAAAATATTACTTTTTATTTCCAAATTTACGATGATTTTTTAGATATTTCGAGTTGGTATTAGTGTGGCACAAACGCTTCTAGTCTAATGTAATGCCCACCATTTGGTTGCTCAATATTATTTGAACCTCTCATGTGTAAAGAATTTGATTCACACCGATCCACAAAATATTAAAACATCAAATTTGCAAGTCCTTTAAAATAATCAAGATTTTCATATATTTCACCTTGAACTCATTTTTATTTTTCAATCTACCCTCTTTGTCAAGATTTTTTTTTCATATAATTTTTCTACAGTTTATGCTTAATGGCTCCTCAGGCTCAATTGGGAATGAAACCCAATGCCGGAAAATTTTACTACCGTATATCCTTATACCCTTTTTAAGCCAATAATTTTTGGCCCATTGATCTACACTGCACGTACGCCTAATTTTTGCTTATTGTTTCAAGATTATTAATTTTTAAATAAAAAGCAGAGCTAGTTATTTGTCGATACTTTGAAAAAATGCCTTTCTTTTGAGAGCAGTCTTTTTTCGACGGAAAACCCGTTGTAATTAAGTTATATTAATATTCATTTATTCATTTGTCGGTAGCCTTTGATTGAATGATTGACTACCACTAGCTCCTCTATAACTAAACCATAATTTTGTATCGTTCTCTTTTTGTGAGTGCTGCTTGTATTGCTTGTTTTTCTGTTATTGGAACAATGTATGAAATGAAATGTAATTTACAACGATGCCATGCCATGCCCAGCTGCTAACCATGCCCTGAAATCCAGGTAATTTGTCCGTAGAGTTCACCACGGTGCATTAAATACCCATCATCTTGCTAAACTTTGTATAATAATACTCGTGAACCTCCAACTATCTTCAATTAATAGCTACCCTGAAATCATGTTCAATTGTTTTTAAAGATATTTTTTGCCCTGAAGGTTGAGTGCGAATGCTCTCACCTATAGTCCTCTAGTGTTATATCAAGACTGAAGCACTCTTTATGCAATTTGTGAAATTGTCCTTACAGTTATTCATGCATACGTATTTAAAGATAAACTTAATCTGTCTAATCAAATTTATCGACTAATATCAAGACTCGGAATAAGTTAATTATATTCGGTTGACCCAGAATTCACATATTGAATAACTTGTCATGCGTAATGTGTATTGTTTCCTGAGTGTAATCTTATTAACCGGAATATTGTATAATAATTTCACTTAACCAATTAATATGCGGCCGTTATTCGAACTATCGGCAATAACCCTCATATCTAAAGTGATAATATAATTTGATTTTTATAACCACAGTAATTGATAACTCGGCTGCCTATAACGTGGATGAGTAGAATACGGCACTAAATAACGCAGATCTTTTAAATATTGATATTGTCTTATATGCCGGTTATGATAATAAATTATAACAATTTCAACACAAATTTTGTATGGTGAGACACGCGACTCTTCATAATATTTCTTTTAAATAAGGTAAATTATAAATTGACCATTGATATCCTGACAATTATAACAGCAAAGTTGTCAATGTTATTCACGTCAAGTGAGAAGGTCGTTTAAGCGTACGGAACTGGTCACAAAAATTTATGATAACGCTAATAAACTAATATTCAATAAAGTTTTTGAGTAACGTGGACATTGGCGTGCGGCCCGCAGACTTTACTGAGTTGCCGCAAGAAGACGCGGCGCCGTCGCTATCCTACAGCACTACGGAGACGCTGTCGTGGATGCGGGAGGCTGGAGTCGACGCTGACATCTACTCGTACGCTCGCGGTCGCCTGCTCAACAGAGACGAATATTTCTTCAAAGTCTGGCATCAGACGCAGCAAATTCGTCAGGAAGCCGAAGAGGAAGGAAGCTCCTCGCAGAAATAGCCTCGTGGCTGAAATTAATTTTTTGTACCTAGAGAATCATTAGTAGTAGCGTTACCTCTTTGTTGTTTCATTGTTGACTATTTGGGTAAGTCTCCCTACCGTCACTAGAGCAAGCGGCGAGAAAATATCGATATTCCCGCCAGCGCAGTGACCCTGAGCATGAAGAGAACGCTCTCTATGATGACTCTTCTCGAACGAATTTTGAGAAAACCAAGAAAAACTTTTCAAAAAATTTGTTTTGGTATTCAATCATGCGTTTCTCAATCGTTCCCTTCAATAGTGTTGTTCTTTTCTTGTCGTTGAAAGTGAGTTTCTTTGGGTAACCCGAGTGTTTTGCCTTGGTTTCGTTGAGACGGGAGGCAGTGGAGGGCAGCACCATCCCCTGAGCACCTAACGCCTTTTCCGCTGTGTCGAGGCTTTGGCTTCCTGGACATAAAAGCCTAGAAGCCCGGCCTCCATTCCGTCTCAATGGGACCAACTATATAGAACCCATTATGTGTATTCTCTTCATCTTTGTAGTTATCGATTGTCTCTTTTTCAAGAATGCTTCGTAGGAAGCGAGAATAAAAATTTTCTTGTTGTATCAAATAGCTTAATTTGTCGTGTTTTCTGTGATAAATAATTTGCTTCCCGCGATGAAAAATCCCGCAGTCAAATATTCATTTAGTCTCATTGCTTAAAATTGCTGGAGGTGAAGCGTGCAGCCAAAGTTGATATAAACTTCGCTTGTTGCTGCCACGAAGGAATATAATCTATTGGTGCGCGCTTCAGCTACCAAGCTCAACTTGATATTAACGTTGGTGAACCACTGTTTGGATCCTTGTTGTTGTTGCTGCTGCATCTACGGTATTCGAACGGTGAGACATCAACGATTAATATTCAAGGGCTAAAATGGGATGAGCTTTTCATTGGCCCGTTGTAATGATTCAATAAATACATAATTATTCCTTAATATTCTTCTTATCCTTCTTTCCGGGTACACGTTAGCTGAAAAGAACTGGGCATGGTATGGCAGTCATGTGCTCATGGCTGTAGATTGCATCGTAGCTTAATGTAGTAGTGTCGGCATTCGATCCCTTTTTCATCATTCGATCCTACTTACTATAATTCTGTAATATTGCATTCATTTTCTCGCCTGAAAAATGTTCATGCGATGTTCCATTTTTATACGTACCTAGTGTAGTCATCAATTTGATGTTATTAATCAATTCAGCTTCACGCCAACGATCGCCTGTCATGAATTGAAACCTGAATGATGACCGGCAAAGAAATTCACTGTGACGTTGAAATTATTCTGCTCGTTTAAAGCACTTGTGGGATTCCGAGACGGGTTCTCAGTGAAGTGCATTGCACTATGTAGTATCTGTTTATTTTCAAGTTCATTTTCATTCGGAGTTTCCCAAATCCATCGAAGTCTTGTGATCGCTCTCGAGGTTATTATTTATAGTCAATGCGTACACATTTTTATTATTGGCATCAAATTACATCGATTACTCGCTCCTATAATATATCCTAGTGAATGGAACATCCTTATGACAGTTGAGTCAACTCTTTGGAGCTCACTTTATGAACGGTATTATTCAACTAATAATAATTGTTTATAAAGAACCAGTCGCCAGCGAGGTCTCTAGTTTGGGCTTTTGATAATCTGATGCAGTTTTTCAACAATGGGCAGATATATAGTGTGGCCCTTTATAAACGCTTCGTAGCATATGTTTCGTCACTCGAATTACGAATGTGGTTTCCTCCATGCGTAAGTCGTCAATTGACTTTCTGCAGTACTTCAAATGTCTTCGTTTCCTCGTGCGTTCACAAAACGTGTCATACTGCTTAGTGCAATTACTTGTTACCACAATATATTTTTATTGAGAATAGTAGTTTACGATACGGTCACTGATTAGGATTAATTAAACTTGAAGGTAAATAAAAGGTGAATGTAAGTTAAAGCACCAAAAGGGGAAAAAATTCTACAAAATAGGCTGCATTGATAAAGATCAGAGACAATTGTATGCACACGAGCCCAACTTGCAACGGAGACACATTCTTCCTATATTTTTTCTGCACTTGATTTCTTGGCAAGAATGCAAAGACGTTGGCAGCAAATTGTGCTGTGATTATTTCGACTGAACGACCTGGTAATGACGTCATGTAAGGAAAATAAAAATTACGAAGTAGGTATGCAGAAACTTTTATTGTATGAAATAAATTTGTCATCTCGAATTCAAAAGAATACTTGAAAGTACATTTTAAAATAAAGTTCTGTGTATTCTAAAATTTTACTTAGCATAATTTCTATTGTTAACTTAATAACGGTGTGACTTATCTGCTCGGTAAATTTACCTGAATTAAAAAGCATTTTCTTCATGAAGTTTAGAAAAGATACTGTTTCTTATTTGAATAGTTTAGAAGATACTCTACAGTACGGAGCTTTGCATGATACAACAATTATCGCGCAATCAGAAAATCGATGTACTTTGATTAGTGCTTCGGAATTTTAATTTAAATGTGGCAAATTTAATTCTGAAATTTCAGTGCTGATAAATATAACAGATAGATTAAAAACGAAAACTATTCTGTGTAATTTACATTAGGAAAATCTAGTACACTATTTCCAGCCGCTTTGAAAATATTTGAGTACAATTAGGACCATGTTGAAAATTTTTATGGGGTATATTAAAAAGGAAAATAAATAGGAATAAAAATAAATAAATGAACAAGTGAAATAGAGAATAGAAATCCTCCATCAAACGTGTAATTGAAGTGGCAGGAAATTTTTATTTTATGAACTAATTCGCACCGCGGCTAGGGCTTCGAGTGACTGAAAAACCTGTCTTTCGTCTTTGAGGTTGATAAAATTACTTGAAACCCATGCTGAGTATCGCTGTATGCATGCGAGATATCGTGATCGTGTCGGACATCAGAGGAATGATGACTCACCTTAAGGCCCCGAGCTGACCAAGATGCGCTGCCAAGTCTGCGTCATGAGAAGCATTTATTTACTTGATTCGTTTTGATGTGCAAACGGAAAGAAATTAGGGAACGAAAAGTCTGGGACGGACGGATATAAGAGTTATTTGCAATCGGGATAATTCCGCTACATAAATTTACCCAAAAATGAGATACGCTCGGTCGTTCGCCGAAATATCTAAAACTGGGATTTGTACCAAATCCAAATTGATTATTTTTTACTGTTAAATTTTGAATTTGACGATAGTGTCAAATTATGTTATATGTATACAGCATTGTGTAGCGCTGCCCTCACGAGTTGCCCAAGGAGTTAGCGAACTGGGTAAATTTAAATTAAAAATAAGGACTTTTCAAAAGCCCTTGTCAGAAAATCTTGGCGATCTCTGATTGTAATTTTCATGGCGTCACGAATACATTATTCCTACGAAATAAATTAATAAAAATAGTTACGAAACACTTCTCACACTTTGTGACACAACCATAACCACATATTATACAAGTTCAATCAATTCAAAATGCTTAATAACTGACAAAAAAGAAACGGTAAACCTGTCGTCCAAGGCGCTCAATGAAACGGGTTATATTGCCACGGCAGTAAAGAAAATGAAGAAATGTTCAAGCTCCATAATATTCTTGTAACTAGAAAATTAAGAGGCAAAATATCTTTGCTTGTTGCGTAGCAACGGGTTCAAGCTAATATATGAATATAATTTTATGTTGCATTTTCTGACGCTGTCGGCTACGTACTAGGCTGTATGTGCAACGTATGCAATGCAGTTAATAGATCGGTCTGATTACCGTCATACAATTTAGAGGCTACATCAACACATTCAGGATATCAGGATATTCTTAAGCTTCAACACCATAAGATACTCACAGTGATAGCGATCCTGTAGCGTTGCTAGGGGACTACGTCTCTATATGTCACGACTCGTGCGCTGTCATGCTGGTTCAGTTCATACAGACGCCGAGTGTTAACAAGTATATTTGGTCTACGCATCTTACAATAGCATTGGTGAGCTGTCCTCCCCAGCTCGCAACTTAAACATTTCTGAATAATTCTCGAAAGTAAACAAAACCTAAAGTGCGAAAGCCTCTTAACCAAAATGGATGAATTACTATTTCTAAAATATGGATTTCGGCGATGTATTTAAATTCGTACTATTCCCTAACAGAGCAAAATTTACTTGTAGTCGAAAAAAGTGAACGTAAAAGTATGGACGCATGGACATGAACTATAGCTTGCTGATGTCTGAAAATAGGAGATGGGGGTTTCGTTGGTAAGTTAACATGATTTGGTATTGAAATTGATTGAGACCGTGTTTTTATTCGTCAATATTGTGGCTTTTAGTTGCGTCAAGTTTTCATCAATCAGCCTTCATCGACAACGCTTCCACCGCAGCTCTTCGCCCACAACCCCGTCACTGCAAATTGTTACACCAGAGAGCTGATGAACACTCGACTGATAATGGATGTCGAAAACATGTTATTATGGATGCGTAAATCATGTTATTATGGATAGTACGTGATTCATGTTGTTATGGATACGTGAAAAATGGTATTATGGATACGTGACACACATCTTATAAACAAAATAGAGCTGTTATAGCATCTTTATACAATTTTTCACATCCTGGAGTAATATCCCTGGGCGTAGTTTTCTACTACACGGAGCAAAAGAGTTTATTGATCCAAGCATAAATTTGAAACTAAAATCTTTTGAACGTGGAGATCAGAAGTTAAAATATATCGCCAGTGAAATAGTTACCCACATTCGTCATGAAATCATTTCTTTCTGAAACTTTTTTCTTCATACTGGCGCGTTAAATCTCGGTTTATGAGTTAACTGCAAGAGCTGCCTCTTAGTCGACTGCACTATAGACTGTATTTTAGTCTCAGGTCCAACTGATCTCGCGTCAATAATTTAACTTATTAGAAAGCAAATTCCATACCATAAGCATTCATTGAAAACTTTATTACTTCAAACCTAAACTTTGATCAGTCGGCAATCTCAGCTACCAACGTCATGCTGCTCCATAGTCTTTTCAATTCTTCTCGATAAATGATGCATTGCAATTCACTGATAATAACACAATTTTCGTTGCGTTTATAATGTCCCTTAACCTGTACACAGAAAATAAAATTAGTAAAAGAGTTCAATTGATTATCTAACTGAGTGTTGGTCTGTTACAGAACGCCGCATTTACGCTGACGATTTTCAGAAATCTAATTTGCCGCTTTACGCTTGGTTTACTACTAAACCTACTTCTGCTTGGCTTCTATTTAACCTGCCACTTTTTTTCGTTCTATATTCAAGAATACATTATCTATCTATTTAATGAAATCTTGAACTTACATGAGTTGCATATTCAAGAATTCATTATCTTTATATACAAAAATTTCAAAATAGCCGTTCCTCTGTAGTATGCAACCGTAGGAGCATTCATATATCTGTTATTGATGTCGCGCATTTATAGCTGCCTCGTTCGATGGTGACGCTTGACAGGAGATATTTTCAAGCATGCACCGTAGTTCCACGTAATTCATCATCTGTCATACTGTGACATGCTGATGCTCCTCTCGATAACGTTCAGTATCTGGGCTATCGACTTAATCGCTCAACTATAGTTGTCAAATTTGGAACAGATACTTAAAAATTTTAGTGCCCTTAATAAAGCATGGTGGATTACTACGCATCTGTCACTTAAAAAAATAATATATCTTTATTTATTTATTGGTTTGGTCATTATAACATTTTCTGGATTCGTGGAAAATAAACCTGGTCAATCTCGAACTTGCTGATTAAAGGGTCGGTTATTGGGGATAACACGCAATACAGTAGTTATGGCTAGCAAATTTAATTGCAACCCCTGTCCTATTTGAGTTCACATTATAAATTGTTATACATTATAAATCGTAATGGCTGTTTATAATATCATCAGGAATATTTGACTATTTTACACTTATAACACAACCATTGAACAGAAAAAAATAACTACATATTCGAGCAAGCTCGTGGCCACACATGCTTGCTCGTGGCCACGTGGAGCATTTTTTCGTTTATTATTTCCGATACCCAGCCAACAAAATGAAAAATGTTTCTACAAAAATACAAAATGTTTCTATCCCCACCTTAAATGATTTCGTGTGAAAATCTGATCAGCAAAAAATCTTTTTCTTCATTTCCATAGCAATACTTTGCAATTTTTTCATTGGTTTGGATAGTTGATTTCGTGGATCTGATCAATTTCTTTAGACGAATGAAATGTGAAGGGAGAACTAGCGATCATTTACATTTTTTTGCGTTCTAACTTGATAAATTTAAGGTGCCCAGATTACGGCGGCTTCAAACTGCAGAAAATTGATTAAAAAACGATTCACTTGGTCTTAACTCTTTAGTAGCACATAAATAATAATTTGAATTTAATCTATTATTACAGACTACGTGGTAGACGAGCCAGGTGTACCGTGCGGACCTCTGTTCCTGACGGAGGTCTGTGACACCGCCATCCGCCTGACATGGCGACCTCCTGACGCAGGCGGTGGAGGAGGCCTGGTTTGCTATGGGGTTGAGGCCAGACTCATCGACAAGGTTGATATAAAAAAGTAAGGGCCGTGATGGTCGATATAATTTTACAGAAATTAATAAAATCTTGAACTCGGTGGCGGTGGAGGAGACCTGGTTTGCTATGGGGTTGAGGCCAGGCTCATCGACAAGGTCGATATAAAAAAGTAAGTGCCGTGATGGTCGATATAATTTTACAGAAATTTATAAAATCTTGAACTCGGTGGCGGTGGAGGGGACCTTGTTTCCTATGTGGTGGAGGTTAGTCTAATCGACAAGGTCGATATAAAAAAGTGAGTGAGGTGACGGTCGATGTTATACCACAAAAATTTATAAAATCTAGGACTCGATAGTTTTAGAGCCTGAGTAACGAAGCAAGAGTGGAAAGGCGTAAAGATAGTGTAGGGTTTCAATTGTTATCTGAAAGCAGGGATGCTGCAAGAAAGAAACTTCCGATCAATGGAACATTTAAACGCTTCCATTTGTGGAGGGCAATATGAGCAAATAATGCAAATTCAGAGCTCTCTAATTTCAATTTATGCGCCCTGAGGGAGGTTTTTAATTCATGCGCACTTAGGGAGGTTTTTAATTCATGCGCACTTAGGGAGGTTTTTAATTCATGCGCACTAAGGCAGGATTTAATTCATGCGCAATAAGGCAAGATTTTAATTCATGCGCACCAACGGAAAATTCCGCGTTTCATGCGCAGGACGCGCGTGACGGTTGACGCGCGCACGACGACGCTGCTGCTGACGGGCCTGGTCGCGGGTGCGGTCTACAGCTTCCGCGTGCGGGCCGCGACCAAGACGGGCCCGGGGCCTGCCCTCGTCAGCCACACCCCAGTCAGGATGTCCTCACGTAGAGGTAATAATTACCCTATAAATAATTATAATAAATGTTTAATATAATAAATATGGAATAATAAATAATAAATGTTTTTTTATTCTTGTTATATTCTGCGCACCAGAATATAACAAGAATATATCTTGTTATATTCTGCTCCTCAGCACCAGAGTCTGTTTGTTTATTTATTTTTTGACTTTTTCTATTTTTAGCGCATTTTCTCATTTATGAAAAAATGCACTATTGTGCTCGCCATGTCCGTCCGTCCGTCCGTCTGTCTGTCTGTTCGTGACTTCACTTTTTCGTCGACGAGAAAATGCGCTCTGTCACTCGCTGCAGTGAGTACTGAGTTATATTTGTTTTACTTTCTTTTCGGAAATTTTCTAATTAAACTAGAATGTCTCTCCCATTGATGCTTGCTTACATAAACTGTTGTATTTTTATTCTTTCATTATTTTTTGAACTATTCGTTCAGATTTATATGAGCGGGACCCTAACTACCTAACCACGTATCCGAAATACCTACAAATACTCTATAAGTCTTAGGAATAAGCACTTCTGAAAATCCCTTGACCTACCCCTGTAATATCCACTATTCACTAATTAAAATGCAAAAGTGTTGTATATCAATTACTAAGTTAGTTTATTGTACTAAAGAAATGCAGTGTGTGTTAATATGTGCCAAGTGGCACGTCCTCGCGTGCTTCTCGGTCAATATTGTTTTTCACACAATAAGTATGGAATAGTGATATTTGTCAGCTTTCTATATAACGGTGAATAATACCTTTTCAACAAGGTATATAATTCTATTATATATAAAATATAACATATTTTATAAGCTTTAACATGAATATTACGTAGGTATGTTTTGAGTAAGTGATCGGAAGATTTAGGCATCCTTTCTTTATCCTAGGCATTGCCTTTTTTTAATTTGGTGCCATGAACCATCTATCAGTCTTGAACCGAGGCATATTAATTGAAATTACAACATGCATTTTAAAAGTAATGTAATTTCCACTTTCTTCTACATAAGGCAGACCACGTTCAATTCTTGTTGGGTCAAAGTTCTTGTGGCAGATACAATGGCGTTTTGGCAGGTACAATAGCGTTGTGGCAGATACAATAGCGTTGTGGCAGGTACAATAGCGTTGTGGCAGGTACAATAGCGTTGTGGCAGGTACAATAGCGTTGTGGTAGGTACAATAGCGTTGTGGCAGGTACAATAGCGTTGTGGCAGGTACATTAGCGTTGTGGTAGGTACAATGGCGTTGTGGCAGGTACAATAGTGTTGTGGCAGGTACAATAGCGTTGTGGCAGGTACAATAGCGTTGTGGCAGGTACAATAGCGTTGTGGCAGGTCCTGCCATAAAGACTCCAAACGTTAAAGCTGCAAATCCTAGCCAGTTGGGGATGACAAAGTTTTAATTTTTAGTTCACCATATATTTTTTAAGTGGCATTATTTTGATTTCTTACCTGGTGGGAAATATTACGATATATATACTTTTATTTATAAAATTGGCAGTCAATCAGGAAATGGAAATAGTTCGTGTGCTATAAACGTTTACATGTATGCATGCTTGCCTCCCTATGTATTTGCACAATATTGTTCGGGATAATATGTCTTAATTACCTGCTGATGCTTATTGCGAAGGAAAAATACGATGTACACCACACATGCGAGTCTTTTGTATATGCCAAGCGCCACAAGTGATGCGCTGCCAAGTTTGCAGGTAAACTGCAGGCGCATCGTCTGTGCTATGCGTTGAGGTGCAGTTTCTTCTTCAGTGTATGTTCGAGTGCCGCCTTGCGAGCTTCCGTGTCGTGCTATGTGTGGGTGACCGCAGCCATGGGCAATAAGCAGGCCCATGATCTCTCTCATGATGAGAAACAGAGGCTGAAGTTCGAGAAAGATAAAGAAAAGGCTTTAGCTAAGTTAGAGAAAGAACGAGTGAAGCAAGAGAAAAAAGAGCATAAGAAGAAAAAGAAAAAGGGGATAAGAAGTGATGCAACCGTAGCTGGTGATGAAGCGTCTGATGCCGTCAGTGAAGCAGGATCACAATGGTCCGAGCGGAGTGTGGGATCCGCTCCTGGTTCGTGGTATCACTCGGCTTCTGAACCATCTTCTAAACGATCGTCGGTGTACCTACACGCGTCTCCTGGTCCTGGGTACTACCAGCATGACTGTTGGTACGCGGGGTACGAGGACACCAGTTCTGAAAAGTCCTCATCCACATCCAAGCCCGCGTCCCGAGCCTCCAGCGTCCGTGATACTCCGAACCTTCGAGCCGCGTCACTGGAGCGCTACCCTCTCGGCATCCCCACTGCCGAGCCTATTGAGCCTATGCATAGAAATGCTTCCCTTGATTTCTCCGAGTCCATAAAACGGACGAAGAAGCCCACAACGAAGGCCCAAACTGACGAAGCTGCAGCCATCGTTGCCTCGAGATACGATGAGAACATTCGCGCATCGAAAGAGTACCTGGAAAAGATGGGTTCCGGTCGTCAAAGTAAGACGAATTTGCCTTTGTTCGTGGAACAAATAAATGTTAATGACCAGGCAGCGTCTGACTCATGGGAAGTGAAAGGCGCTAAGCGAAAAGCAGATTCAGTTGATCAGGAATCGTTGCGGTCTTCATACCACACGGCAGATGACGGATCGTCTTTGGGGGGCGAGTACAAGAGGCGGTCAGTTGAAGGCTCGTCTGTCGCTGGCTCCATCTATTACTCCGCTGACGAAGGAGGCTCGTACGGAGGCTCGATTTACTATAGTGCCACTTCCGGCTCTGAGGTGGAGGAGAGGGCTAGGGCCATGGATGAAGATTTGGGTGCCGGTAAGTGGGAAATTTCGAGCAATATTATTGTTAAAAATTCTGCGTGAAACATTGAGAATGGATTTATTTATTTTATTGAATACCTTTAGTTTCATTGAATACCTTGAATGAAGGTAGAATACGTACAACACTGGAGAAGAAAGGTTCTAATGATAATGAAGAAAATATTTCTTTATTCAGCTTCGTAAAAGATTTTAATTTTCGAACTAATCCAACTCATAATTTAACTGACCACGTTTACGTCCCTAATTTACCCGCATCAACTGCGTCGATGTCAGTCAAATGCAACACTTGAACTTATAGAGTGAATTTGTTCTTACGGGTGGACATAAACTCCACCGCTTACTGACAGTATTAAGCAGTTCTGTCTAATACAGGGATTGGACAACGGACTGTGTTAAACCGACACATAAGACGCCGAAAATTAATGTTCAAATAAAACTTGCGTTTACATGGGGCCCAGTTGCACCTCGGGAGCATTTCGAGTATATTAGGAAATTGTCTATGTTTTCAAAAGTAATTTTTATAATTAAGTTGCTTAAAAGAAATTTCACCCACGAGTTCAAATACTGTCGATTCAATATAATTTGAAAAAAATGCCATTGAAACAATCCAGAAAGTTGCTTTCCTACATTGCGCCTTCGTGAATTTTCCTTAAATTCACTTAACTTTATTCATGGCTAACGCATTACAAGTTATCATTGAAATCACGAAGATAGCTTCTATCTTTCATATCGCATGCATGAGTCTTGTTTTATTCTATTTCGTTTGATTCACAGGGAAAACATTATAGGATTTCATATAGACAGACAACTTCTGTCCAAAATAACGCCAGAGTTATTCTCAAAACAACATAAATGTACGTCTTAAACTTTTTCGCCATGAACTCATGTGGTCTATGCAGTAATTTTTTCTCTCATTTCCATGTTTCAAAAATGAAACGAGGATCGCTGCCTAAACTAGTAATTCAATGTTGCGTCATTCACGTCTATGCTTGAAATTATTCTCATACAACTAAATTTCGGCTGGGTTTGCCAATAGAAATATAGAGTGGTTTTTTACTGTCGTAGATTCCGGCTGTAATTAATCATGTTTGTAATTCACAGGGTCGAATCAAATCCTGTTAAGCGGCTTTAATAACGATTTACTTTTCAATCACAATGAAACTTTTTACTTCTGAATGTTTGTGCGAGGCAGCTAAAACGTGCATCATGACTTGAATTTGATATTAAAAATGAATTGTCAGTGAAATAAGCATGCTAAATAATCTTTATAGAACCTTTCGAAACATGCAGCCAAATGGGTATATTGGAGGAGATGTATTCAACTTTTGTGACCCAATAACTTGACAATATTTTTTTTCATTAAATTTCTATTCATCTGCTCATGATTGCGATTGTTCGACTGCATTTGTTAGAATATGGCATCATTTATAGAACTTCTTACTGAAGCACGAGATTATAATTATATCTTGTAAAACGCTCATGATTTTGATACTCGGGGTTATTATTGTGTTTTCGACCATATAAAGTCCGGATCGCTGACCATTAATACCCATTGTGCGGTAAATGTGTGATCTAACCCCAAAAATGTGGTAAATGTGAGTTAGATGTGGTTAGAAAACATATTTACCCAAAAAAATCCTGTTAGATCACACATTTACCACTGTGCGGTAAATGTGTGATCTAACCCAGATGTGGCACTATTGTCACCATCCATAGAATGACAGAAAGCAAAGCCTAACAGCAAACGCAAGGAGAAATTTGTGATCACATGAAGGTGATAACGCAGAGTTGTACCACCGAAGCGTAGCGCTGCGTTTTAACAAGTTTTGGTTTCACCAAGTCTCTTTATAACGCAAACTGGCTATTGCTCCGACTCACCCTACCACCGACTCACGCACTGTACCGCCGACTCGTAGCGCCAATTTACGACTCCGCAATGTTGTTAGTCTTCAGCCATGCATTCTACTGTTGCAACAATTATTATGATAAAAAGATGGTAATGTTAGCACTAATTAGATAAATGACCTTTTAGTTATAATATGAAATAATATGAATTTTATATCTTTTATCCACTGTTTCTTTCCAATTTTCGAAGAATTTGAGTTGTTAAATTTGTCTCGGTTCAGCACAAAAGGAATTGGAGTTTTCGTAACCTTCAAATTGGATGTTAAGTTTGTTAGCAGCAATAACATCCGGCAAGCCTTCAATTCCTCAAATTGATCAATTGATTATCTTTAAACTGATCAATTATTGATAATGTTGGGGAAATTTTGTCTTCAACAATGTATGCATTTTTTAATGATTCACCCTTCCCGGTAGCGTCAATTATTGGTGCATTGTTTGATCCTGTATAGTCTGTCCAGCTTCGTGTATGTATTCTGGTTACGCTTACATTGCTGCAGAGACCGCAGCTGCAGCGGAGTAGCAAGAATAGCTTGACTCTTGGCAGCTGTACGGCTCACTGTGCAGCCTTGAATTGTAGGTCATCACTGGGCTGTTATTACATGCAATTTATGTGCTACTTCATAGGAGAAACAGCTGCACAGCTCCTTTGTTTTTTTATGTTTATGGTCAATTAATCTAAAGTTAATTTTTTTGTTAAAACAGTTTCTAATATGCCCATATTCCATACTAATCTTTACGCAAAGTATGATTTTTATAAATAAAATAAAAAAATATATACAAATTATAATTTAATTTTTACAGTTACCAGCTGCGCTTCAGGTATCTTGAATGTACTGTTCTATGTATTGTTATGTAGGCTGTTGGTGCAATTTTACTTTAATGGAAATATTTGTGCTAATGAATTTATATTACGGTGCCATTTGCATTTACATGAAATATTTTTTAAGTAAAGTATCTATGTGAGTGTGATACTGAACACTACTTTTCTCGATGATGTAGTGATCAACTCACAATGAAATTTCTCGAGCGTTTTTGTGGAGAATGCATTACAGTTCTAAAAATTTTCAGTGTAAATCTATATTATGACATTTGAATAAAATCCAGGCGAGCCTGAACATATTTTCATTTGAATAAACATCTAAGAGAAAATTACTTTATAATTTGCAGTGTGAAATTAATTGTCTTTTTCTTTCAGTTAACTGGCTGCTTTTTTCAGATATTTGACTGGTTCTGGTTATGCTTTTAGAAGCAACTTCCACCATAAAGCTAACCAATCCACAGCTTATCTGTCGAACGTAATTTTAAATTTCCGAATTTAAATTCTGATATGGTCCGATTTATAAAGCAGTAGATTTTTATTTGGACACAGTGTAAATGCACGTTGTTCACTATGGGGCTTTACTCGATACTTCAATAACCGTTCATCGTGTCTTCTGGTTGAGTGTGATGTTTTTTTCTAAGCAGTTTTATTGCAAAATTTATTTTTCAAAGAAAAATATTTTGCTGAATCGTGCTTTCAGTGAATTCAGTTTTCAGTGGGGATCACGAGATAATTAAATGTTTCGCATGTTCTCCGTAGAGTTTATCATCGTCCCCCAATCATATTTTTAGATGAGCTAGGTCCGATGGCTTTTAGATGAGCTAGTGAAGCCATCGGACTTGTTGAGCCAAATAAAATCAAGATTGGTTTTATCGCTAATTTTTTTACGAAATATATATGACACTCACGTACATTAGTTTAACATTGTGGTCACCAACTAAAAACTCAAATATATTGATTGACTCGAACCTCCAATATTATGGCTTGCATAAAAAATCTTATTACCTGCATCATGAGTCTTATTAGTTACATCTCGAATCTTATTATTATTATTATTAACTTTTTTATTACATGAATCTCAAACCTTATAACACGCATAAAGAAAATGATTACCATCGGCACGAAACTATTATTTGCGACACGAATTTTATTGCTTGAATCTTTCTTCCTGTGGCATGCAACACGAATATTGAGTTTTTCTTCTCGAATTTTATGCCTTGCATCACGAATCTCAAGCTTTGCATATTAAATTTTGAAAATTTTATTAGGAATTTTTTAGTTCCCATTTAGAATTGCAGCAGTCGTGTCTTGAATTTTTGGACTTTCATTACGACTCCTGGGTCACGAATCTCGTATAATGTCACTTGCGTCTTGAAACTTAGGATTCGAGTCTCGAATACAAAGACTTCATTTCTGATGTTGTTTCTCTATGACTTGAATCGTAAATGCAATGAATAGTTTTAGGGGGCAGCGCATTGAATCTCATAATGTGAATACCTAATTTTATGAAATTGCAGACTGGTTGTATGGGCATAAATCGAGAACGATGGGCATTTCTTTTAAATTTCCATGAACGTCTTCAAGCTAGAGGTTTAAAATCACTTGACCAAATTAATAATGTTCACGAGAATCTGGTGTTGCAATCACCATAGTTTTTTCATTGTTAAACCATTATTTGCCAACGACTTGAGATCATAAATCGCTTGGAAACTAATATGAAACAAGAACTATAAAAATTTTAATTACAATAATGTATTTCATTTGTCAGCGAGACAAGTTCAAAATCAGCGAGTCAAGTAAATTCCTCCATTTGAAGTACACATTAGTACCGATATCCTTTGCCCTGAAATCCTAAGTTCTTTATTCCAACTCCTAGAACCTTTAGTTCAAGTAGTAATTATCATATGTCCTAATATACTTAGTCCGTATTTCTTATACCTAATATTCTTAGTACTATCTGTTTTTGTTATTATATCCATACATTTATACACATGTCCTCATTCTACCCTAACAGCAATAAATAAAGCTCATGTATTGACCGACCACCAGACCGGCCCAGCCCGCCTGGCAGGCCCGAGGCTGTTGATCGGGACACGGGGGGCACGGGCAGGCTGGCCTACCTCAGGGCCGAGAACGACGCGCTGCTGCTGCGCTGGACCGAGCCTGCCGACGACGGAGGCTCTCTGGTCACGGGTGAGTCCTGCTACGTGTGATCGAGTTGACCTCACTCACGGGTGAGTAAAGCCTGCTACGAGTAAGTCATTCTCTCTCACGGTTGATTGAGCCCTGCCACGTGTAAGTAAATCACTCTCGCGAGTGAATAAACTTTTTTATGAGTGAGTAAGTTCTGCCACGTGCGAGATAACCTCGGCCACGGGGCATTCGTACTTTCTAGTTAATGTGCACTCGTCCTGTCACATGTAAGGCAGATCCTGTCCTGTATAAGTCAGTCCCTGCCACCGGTAAGTCGGCATCTAGTACATGTAACTCATCTGCCTCTTTGGTAAGTAATTACCTGTCATAGGCGACGTTTTTTCGAAGAGAATTGATCGTTTAGAAAATATATCAATTGAGGGCATATTGTACCTTGTGAGATAGATCACCTGATATATCATTAAATATTTCTAGCATCACGTCACGTAATCATTGAAATATTTTTTGATATATCATAAATAATGTTTGATGCCGCGTCTAATTTCGCATTTCGTTTTCGCACTAGCAGTCTAGGTGAAACGTGCTGTTGCTCTCAATTAAGTCTTAAATTCTCATTGGTTATGCAATGAATTTTATTTAGTTGTTGAGTCATTTCTACAGTTATGAAATATATATTTTTCTTGTAATTAGAATAGAATAGAAGTGTCGGCACTGAAGATAGGCCCATGGCCTGTTGCCGATTCTTGAATTTTTCGTGACTTGATTCACAACGGCCTTTGGGATTCCACAAGGGATTGATTCCAAAGGCCCTTCCAAGTGACTTGATTCCACAAGGGATTCACAAGATCCAGCCTTTGGAACCCGATTTTTCCATAACTGACGATTGATTGAGATAGCTGCTGGACTTATTGCCTGGTCCGTAATTTGCTAGGCATTTTAAGACTGAACATATGCTTCTGCATATGTTCAATTATGCATATGCATAATTGACTTCAATATGAAAAATGTCCGTAAAAAGATTCTATGTATGTGACAAATTCTTTACTTCCTGTCAGGCTACATCATCGAGAAGTGCGAGGGCGAAGGCGACCAGTGGGTGCGGGTGAACCTCGTGCCTGTGCGTGAGACGGAATACGCCGTCGCACACCTACAGGGCGGCCGCGACTACCGCTTCAGGTGAATGCACCGATGTCGGTCTGTAATGTATGCTGAATCATGGGTGACCGGCTCGGTCACCCTGTCCCTCGGTTGACAGGGTGAGGCTGTTGACGGGGTGAGGGTGTTGATTAGGATTACGATTTTTTACGATTACGACTGGGCCTATACTTTCACAAAAGTTAAGAGATCGTAAGTTCTTCAGCCAATCATTGACGGCCTTTCAAGCAAAATCCACCAATCATAGGCCAGAAAATAGAGCGTAAGTACTTACCTTCACTTAGCGAGTTTTGAAAGTATGGCCCAAGACCCAGCGACCTGATCACGCAGCTTTACGCAGCTGAATAATGCAGTTATTGATATGGAGTGAACTGGCATGCATGAATGTGGTAAATATTTATGTAGAACAGAGTAACAGTGATGAACAATGCAAAAATACATTATGTGTTCTGTAGTGCAGATAATGTGGCAAATATTCATGTGGAACACGGTAGCAGGGATGAATGATGCATATATGCATAACGATACATGGGGCAGGGATGAATAATTTGGAGACCCATGTGGATGAATATTGCATAGGTGAATTATCTGAATATTAAAGCAACATTTGTGGTATGGCGGCCAGAGTGTGTGCGGAGAACGTGGCGGGCACGTCGGATCCTTCGCCGCTGTCGGACGTCGTGACGGTCGCGCTGGACAGCGAGGCGTCCGAGCCTCACTTCCTGCGGGAGCTGCGCAACGTTACGGCCATCTGTGGCAACAGGGTGAGGGTGTTGACAGGGTGAGGGTGTTGACAGGGTGTCAGGGTGTTGACAGGGTGAGGGTGTTGACAGGGTGAGGGTGTTGACAGGGTGTTGACAGGGTGAAGGTGTTGACAGGGTGATGGCGTTGACAAGGTGAGGGCGTTGACAGGGTGACGGCGTTGACAGGGTGAGGGCGTTGACAGGGTTAGGGTGTTTACAGGGTGAGGGTGTTGACAGGGTGAGAGTGTTGACAGGGTGAGGGTGTTGATAGGGTGAGGGTGTTGACAGGATGATGGTGTTGACAGGGTGAAGGTGTTGACAGGGTGAAGGTGTTGACAGGGTGAAGGTGTTGACAGAGTAAAGGTGGCGACAGCGAGAGAGTATGTGGCAGATGGATGATAGTGCACTGCAAAATGTTGATAGTGAACGGCAAGAGGGTGAGCGTGAAGGGCGACAGGGTGAGCAGCGACAATGTGGAAATGTACTTGTTGGCGTAGATTGCATTTTTTCATGTATGTCGTTTGAGACGGCAAATCCAAGCCATCACACTCAAGTTTGACTTCGGTAACTTCCCTTATATATAATTCAAATAAGCGAATGTTTCTTTTCCCCAAATTCAGGTTGAGTTCACGGTAGCTGTCGTGGGTTCCCCGCGCCCCGACGTCACATGGTACAAGGATGGCTTCGAGATCTACGATACGAAGCGCTTTGAGTTCTACGAGAGCCCCGGCAACCATTTCACTTTGGCTCTGAAGGAGGCGCGACTGGCGGATGAAGGAGACATCAGAGTCAGGGCTGCTAACAGGGCTGGGGCTTCCTCTTCCCAAGCCATCCTCCGAGTACAAGGTTATTTTTCTCAAACTCATTTTGAATCATGGTCATGTATGATACAAATAGAGAAATATAGGTTAATTTAGAATAAGGTGTTTACGATTACGACATCTCTGGCCTTAATCAAAATGGTTTTCCTTCATTTAGTCAACATCAACGTGATCAAGTCAGCTCGATATATAAAAAACCGAACGGAATATTTATCCGGTTAAGTCTAATAGGTGGGTATGGGAGGAAGCGAAAGAACAACAAGATTTATTTTAACTGGAAAACCGGCTGAAGTTGAAGGATTGAACCTATAATTTAGAATCTGGTTTGAGCCTAGCAACTTCAATGGCCCACCCGTCCAGCCACAGACGAGTCGGAAACTGCTGAAGCATCACAGAATTTGAATTTATTTACTATTTACATTTATTGTCATGTTGTGTTTACACTCGTAGTTATAGGTATAGTTATAGTTATATAAATTTTACTTATAGTTATCGTTGTAGTTAGTGTTAAATTGTGGATGAGTATGATGCTCTGCCTAGTATGCCAGGCAGGGCAGCAGACCCCTGGCTGAGCGACAAACGTCTGTTGCCTCTGGTGTCTACTACCTTGCCTGGACAGGATACGCGAACAGATTGCCATCTCAGGCTCAATTTGAAAGATGTCGAAGGAATTATCAAGCTTCACGCACTCGATCTCGTTGCCTCTATAAAATAACAGTATATGCAGATATATTCACTAAGAGTTAAATTTTATATGTATTCCTGACTGAACCCGCTTCCTTTCGCACCGGTTTCTAGGACATGTATAACGAAGTTAGCCTCTTTTTAATCTTCGTATTAAAACAAGAGTTGTAGGTCTCATTTCAAACTTACATTTCCCTAATTTGACTAATTTTCCAATCCTTCATCCGTATACAAAGAACATCTCCCATTAAGATCCACCTCCGTTGTAACAAGCCTGCCTCCCAAAAGTACGGAAAAGGCCTAATATCGCAATAATTTCGTCCTCTATTGCTCCTATTATCCGCCTGCCCCTCCCAGTACTATATATATAACAAGGCTTAATCTCACACTAATTTCGTTGCCCAGCTCCCCCATCATCAACCTGCCCCCCCCCCAGTTCGAAAAAGTCCTAACTCATAATAATTTCACCCCCCTGCGCACTCCTTCATCAGCCTGCCACCTCCCCCTAATAATAACAAGGCCTAATCTCGCACTATTTTCGTCCTCCAGCGCCCCCCATCATCAGCCTGCCCCTCCCCCATTACGAAAAAGGCCTAATCTCACAATAATTTCGTCCCCAGCGCCCCCCGTCATCAGCCTGCCCCCCCAGTACGAACAAGGCCTCATCTTCGACACGGACGAGCTCATCAGGCTGCGAGTGCCGTACGTGGGCAAGCCTCAGCCTACTGCCTCTTGGACGCACAACGGCAATAAGGTCACTACTGTTGAATTATTAACAGCGATACAAGTGATGAGCTTCTGTTTTGAGATTAATAGGCATTTTAAATTGATGTACTTCTGTTATGTGCGTGACAGGTATTTTAGAAGAGTATATATCTCTGTTTTGTGCTCAATGACCATCAGACGAGCGTAATGTTATATGTTTAACAGGCTTTCAGGTGATGAAATTCTGTTTTGTGTCAATAAAAAGTGAGTGTGGGGGTTTCAGCGTTGACCCGTGAGCCCGTGTTTTAGTGCTTATAAGTGAGACCGTGTTTCAGGTTTTTGAGCAAGTCTTTGTCACTGAAATGATTAAAAGAAGCGCAGATTTTCAAGCAAGCCTTCTTCCCACTCGAAATTCATATTCCATTTGGGTCGCCCCACAGTCCATTGAGTCGCATTTGAGGATAATCGGGCGTTAATCGGCCATCTGCTGTATTCCGCTGCTATTTAGAAGCCTTTTTCGGAAGTCTGTGGCCCGATGGGCCGAATCTGCTTAACATAACCGAAAAAAGCAGCTGGTCAAGCTTCCTCACGAGGTTTCTCGTCAGATTATTGTATTTGAGCAAACCATGACCATCTCCAGCTCATAGAAACGGTGTGTGCACGTGCACGTTTGTTAAGTCATATATGATACGATACTTTACAAAATTTTCAGCTTGCGGGGTTACGTGGTTGCTACATAATTGCATTGCGTATATGGCACAAATGGTTTTTCGACAAAAACATGATTTTAGTTTTTACTTTATCATATTTAAAAACCAGAGGCTGCTTGAAGGACCGCGAAAAATCAATGCTTATAGCTCCATTAGATAATTTTAAATCCTTGTCATTAATACATAATTAATACATTGTAAATAATTAATATTTACATAATTAATATTTAGGCTGTTAATTGGCAGAAGCATCAACTGGTGAACGTTCGGTTTTGTATTCAGGGCCCACAAGTTTTTATTGGACATTTAGGTATGTGATCTTGGGATGGCACTGCTTAATATAATGATGGCAGTGCATTTCAAGATGACAGGCATTAAACAATGTACCTTCGGTTATACACACCAGGTTTTCGAAATTTGGATAGTCTATGTCAACGTGATACTGAAGTGCGGTTAACATTATTATTTCATTTGTCACTGAATTAAAGATCGTATTATTCAATGGCGGTTGTGCGTGCTGGGCATGACTCATCGCGGCGTAAGTATCATGGCACCTCGCTACTTTTTGAACAAATTAATACAAACTACATTCTGTGGGTCAAACGACATCGATGACAAAATTTAGGGTATTATTGCAGATTAACTACATCCAAAAAAAAAGGGTGTTTTTTTTTTTTAATTATATGTTTTTTGGGGTGTAGATTACGAATCTGAAATCCATTTTTGGCGGTCGGCATCGGAAAACCGATTTTTTTTCCGACCCAAAAATCGCGCTTAGGGTACGTACACAGTGAAAGCCGGTTGCCAGCGTGCTGGTTACCTGCTGAGGCTGGCGCCTGAAACAAGCGCGAGAGGTTGTTCACAGTGGAAGCAGGAAACATGCTTGTGCATTCCCTATAACGATTGATAAAATCTCTCAATATTTTTTTTGGATGTAGTTAATCTGCAATAATACCAAATTTAGTCCATGTTGGACGGGTATTATTTCATATAGTAACTTTACTTTGTTTTCTGCGTAAAATTTGTTGCTAGACATGTAAAATGTTTAACACCCACCAATAATTTTACTCCCCCATAAGTTGGGGGTTAACACTACGCCAGTATAGGGCCCATGTAAGGGACGTGAGTAAACGCGGAGTATTTACGCCAGTTGTCTAGTTCCGCTAGTCTTGTTCACATGTGGAGTGTCACACGCATGGTTGAACTAGTTTTATAGTTCAACCATGTGTCACACGTTTCTAATTTCAGTCATGTAATTGTACGGTGCTAAGTGATGTATGGAACTTGAAAATAATTTGTTTAAAATGATATACATGTTAATTTTAAACATTTTTAGAATCACAACTTCCTTAGTTATACTATGCAGTTGCAGGGGTTCATAAAGTGATGTTCGTTGGAAACCGGCACTGGTATGGTGGCAATCGCGGCATGCAAGAACATACCGTAGTTCAACGAAAATTTCTGCAGTCATAGAAATTTTCAACTTGGAGTATATGATGGTATGAACGTGTTATTTGAGCATCTCGTGTTCATATGCCCTAGATTCTAATTCACCATAATAGCTTAATCGATTCGTGGAACCGCAAGTTATGCATTACTAATTAGTCTTCACCACAGAGCCGCTGCAAGCAAAACATGTTGAAAAAGGATGCAGAGCGTGGTCGTAAGTAATTAAGCTGCTCGTTTCCTGTGATTATGTACTTTTTTCCAGTGTATCATCAGGTTTTTTGCCGGAACGAAATCAAGGCGTCGTTATGAATTGGGTTATTTTCGAAGAGCTACAATTTTACAAAGTATTACAGGAAAAATTTCAGAAATTGCCATTGAACATGGCAATTTTGGAAAGGCAACAAATTCCAGCTGCAATTTCGACGGCAGTATTAGTTATATTCTTCTTTACAACCACTGTGAGCAGAATTTATAGACCCGTGCAAAACAGTTTGCTGAACGGAAGTAACTACTACTAGTGACGTATCGTGAAATGACAAGTCGTTAGCAAATTACACCGAATGTTACGCGTGCATACACGAGGAAGTAAAAATAAACGCGGGTCTCGCCTTGAATTGCATTACCATGAACAATTCATTATATTTTAAGTCTTTCATACCTAGAAACACAGGTATGAAATTATTAGCTACTATATTAGATCTGCGCAATGTTGAAATGGTTCAAGTTGAGCCCTGTAGATGCACTAGGCTGTTGTATACAAATATTTTGGGAGAACTTTGAGGACTGATTTAAGTGGTTTTTGCGGGAGAATGCTTAACGGTGTATGTAAATGTTTAATCCTGGCGAATTTGAGAGAAGTTTAAATACTGGTTAAAGTGAGAGAATGTTTCGCACTGCCGTACGTGGAAAATGTTTGGTACCCGCAAAAGGTATGACTGTTTGGTACGGGTGAATGGGATAATATGTTTCGGACATGGATAATACCGGTATGGGAGAACATTGAGCGGTGTTGAATATTGGAGAATGTTGATTGCTGTGTGCTAGTGAAAGATAGTGAGTATTTGGTTTATGGTAATGCGGAAAGTTGGGGTTGAAATTTGTAATAACCGATATTATTCCCAGTTCAAATTCGTGTTTCTAGGCCATTTGCTTCATTGTGTCGTGGTGATATGTACATCATTAATCTTTTTTTCCATCCAGTCTGCATTTACGGCAGCAATTCAATTTGGAGGGAAGGGAGTTGGCGTTTGTTAACGCTTTTTTCAGATTCGGCCGTTTCCTTGCCTCACGCGCCTCAAGCTCGTGTGGTCTATGACCGGATTCTAATCTGACCATTATTTCGTTCGTACAACAAGAGCGTAAAGCTGACATAGAATGGCTAATATGGGCGCTGGGCGAGCTAAAGGCGTCTTTAATTCAGCTGCTAACCACCCTCAAAATTTCGATAGGGTGATCACTGAAACTAAAATGTTAATCGGACGATAATTTTTACCTTGTACCAAAAGTGTTTTTAGCTAACGACGAGCCTGCGATCAAACATCATTGGCCCCTACCAGAACCAGATGCGCTTAAATTTGATAGCGCACAGGTTTTAATTTTTAAGTTCATCAGATTACGATCAGTTTCTCAGTGAAATTTGAACTACAGATTCATGGTTGACTAATTTCCTAAAAATATTTTAGAGAAAAAACATCCAAACAATAAATTTAAATCATAAATATTTCATGTCTCGTTCCAAATAATCGTAAACGCTCTTGCTTCGCTCTAAGATGTGTACATATGAGGCTGAAGAACCTCCAAGTATCAATAGTGCCTCTATTGTTTACTGAGTATTAATATAGTTTACTGTTTATAGTAATACTTAACCGTATTACTATTACCAACCGTAACCGGAAGTGTAACCGTATTAACTCTAGGAAATCATAACGCTCCTAAATGAAAATTACGCGAAAATTCACTTTTCTGTGTTTTCCAATTGCTTAGCGACGACTATGAAAATGGTTTGAAAGAAAAATCTATTAGAAAACATTTATTTAGAAGGTGTCCACACTAATAAATCACAGTCGGGTGTTAAACATTCCCAAAATCTTTGCCTAAATATTACCACATCACTGATTTTGCTGGAAACTCCTTCTATTCACTACACGCTCTCAACAATTCCTATTATTCTAGACGTGACGAAGCAATTAAGGCAACAAATGACAGTCGAATGAAAGCAGTTTTATAGAGTTGAATTAACTTTCTAAATGTTCTCACAGATCCCAATGAACGACAAATTCTCAAGCGATGTCTCGGAGAAGTTCGCTACATTGAAGCTGTCGAGCGGTTGCAGGGCGGACAAGGGACTGTACCAGCTTACCTTGGAGAACCCGCACGGCTCAGCCCAGGCCTCCTTCTTCATCACCGTCACAGGTCAGCCCACTTAGGACCTAAATTTTTCCCTGATGCTTGAAATATGCAAAAATAATTTAATGAATAACTTTCATTTCTTCAGTAGAGTTAGACTTAAGTTGTGACAAATGCTCGTGCGAATCTGTCCCAGAATAGTGATCCGAAAATTATGTGGATTTCATAGTATTTAGCCTTTGATCAGCCCCAATTGTTCATGTCTTCATAGTTCACGGTAAATTTGCAATAGGTTTTAACGATGCAACGTTTAAATGACACAAAAAAGACATTTGCATTATGTAAATCAAATGTTTTAACCAAGTTAGCAGTAAATTAGTAATTTATGGAAAAAGATGAAGTTTAATTCAGAAGTTTCTGTTTATATGCCCAATTATTCGAAAATCAGATAAATTTTTATGATTACTAAAAACATGGATTGTTAAAGAATCAATTCGCCACCATCAATGAGCCGGTGTGAGAATGGGAGACCTTCAATTTACTACAAGCCTTCAATGGTCAAGTATTTCTCATGTGCCTCTCATCAAGCCGCTCTCTCCCATCCCGATAAAGTGAATTAGACGGACATCGGACGTACTTCCGCAAGCCATAATTTTTACATTTTAAGAGTCAGATATATATTATTTTTTAAATAATCAAAGTGTTAGTGGTAAAATTATTTATGTTCTTTCATTATTTCTTTCACGGAACAAGGCAGAGTTTGATTTTATATCCCTTCTATTTGGAGCAAAACCAGCATATGACTTCATTTTCAGAATGGTTCGGGTTAGTCCTGACGTACGGTAGCGTGTTTTAGCTCGAGCAAAATTAATGGAAAATTATTCATGTTTGCCATTAAACAACAGTTATTCCTCTCTCCTCTCCAAGTATTTTTCGAATCCATTGTGCATTTTATTCTAATATAATGTTTCGATGTTTGCAGCAACGCAACTTTTACGGTCCACTTGTTTTGCAATGTGCCAATAAAAAAATTATTAGGCAAAGCGAATTTGCTGAGGTTTGGAGGAATGTTCATCTTTGTTCAACAGTGATTGATAAAAATTTCTGTAAGGTGCACTTAAAGTGAATAAAGCTTTCAAGGTAAAATTTATTAATCCAATTAACTGGTTATGAAAGCTGGTAAGCATTTATTGTATTTCCTTGTCGTTTTTCATTTCTTCACATATGCCCGAGTTGAAGCTGAACCTTGTCTATCAACTGCCATTTTATATCAAACACGTCCATCGAAATTGATCATTTTTATATGCACGTCACTAAGCATATATTTCCCGGCACAGTCCTTCCTCTGAAGAAGAAATTTCTTGTGATTGCTTAAGTTAAATCTCACTAATTTGACCATTCTGATCTTCTATGTGGCCGTTGACACCTTATCATTTTGTTACAATAGGATAATATTCATATACTGGTCAAACGCTCGCAATGATTAAATTTCTGGATATTTTTTTCTTCGGTGCGCCAGACCGGCCCGGGCCGCCATCGCGCCCCCTGGTGGCTGAGTTGTCGGGCAACTCCGTCACTCTGCGGTGGGACCCTCCTGCTGACGATGGTGGCTGTCGCGTCAGCGCATACATCCTTGAGTACTTCAGGGTACGTCAGGTGGATGTACTTTATCTTAGGATAGTCTTCTGTACGAAGTGAATGGACCCGTGCAAAATCTCATGTCAGCGCAGGCACAAGGGCAATAAGAAGCATATGTGTTGTAGGGATGTTTATTGAACCTACAGAATGCCAGTTTAAAGTGAACGGGAAATTATTAATATTAAAACTCGTTGTTATTGTTTTTCTTTCGTATTGAAGTATGGCGGTGGTCATTGGAGACCATCAATGTTGAAATGTAATTTGTGAACTTCTTTCTTTTGGTGAACTGTGCAGGTGGAGTTGTTGTACTCACAGCTGCTCCAATTGGTCAATCGACTAAAAAGTGTTCGGATACTCTTGGTCTAGTCAATATGTCTGACCTTGTTTATGCGTGTGCTAGTTGCGGATAAGAAACATTCGGCCAATGTTTCAATTTAATTCGAAAAGTTTCGCTCATGCAGTGTGCACCGACATTCATCAATTATTCCCTCACTTCAGGTTGGTTGGGATGTGTGGCTGAAGGCTATGACGTCCCGTATCACGTGGGCACAACTCAACGACCTCATCGTCGGCTCTGACTACAAGTTTCGCGTCAAGGCCGAGAACGCTTACGGCATGTCAGACGCCAGCCCCGAGTCAGACGTCGTACATGTCGAGGAGTCAAGAACTCCAGGGTCAGTAGATGAATTCTAAACGAAACGTATAGCTCTTGAACTCCAGGATTAGAGAGGGGAGAACTTTCATTGTGCGTGACCGAGTGTAATACTATGAGGTTGAATGTATTCAGCGATGGTTAGTTGTAGAGTCAATAAATACAATGGGAAATTGATCTGTTGCGTGATGAGTACTAGAGGTCGATCTAGTTTGAGTCTCATCTATATAGTTGCCTCCAGAACGAAAGGGCTAGTGGAGGAGTTCACGATTTGAAAATTATTGTAGGAATATCGAACTACGTTGCTAGTAGACTTTGACAATCAATTTACCGTTTAACATTATTTATGTTGTTATAATTAATGAGCCAAGATAAGTAATGTCATTGGCTTTGTCCCATGTTCAGCAGTTCGTCGTTCGAGTTTGACACGTACAAGTCCACAAGCGCTGCTGGCTCGTCGCTCCCTCAGGACCGAGCTACGGCCCTCCTTAAGGGTGAGTGTCGTACTTTATGCATGTCTAATTTAATTTCCTAAGAAATCAATGTCATTGTTAAAATTCACTTCTGTGCTTTGGCAATAATTGTAATTGGATAATTAATTTATGCGGCCAAGAGCAAGTATTGTATTATTTATCCATTATATTTCTTGGCTATTTATTTAGGACTTGAAATTAGCAAAAATTCTGTAGGTAAGTAACTAATCTATTGAAATTAATAGCATTCTCATTTAATATTAGCATTCATTAGCATTCTAAAGTCATTTAATTTGTACAATCTTCCACTTCACTGTGGAAAGTTCAGCTTCGAAAGTTAACACAGAATTACCTTGGTATTAAGCCTTAATATTACTTCCATTATAATTAAGGCGATGACAGATATATTACAATAACAATCGGCCCTCTTTTATCCATTCACGAAATTCTTAATATTCGGAAAATATATTAATAAACCGGCAATTTCTCTTTTGTTTCCTATCTTGGCCAAATTTGAAGCTATCAAACTACCACAAAACAAATAAATTTCAATAGCTCTATTGATGTGAATGAGGAGGATGTTTGTAAAATGGAAGTACAAACAGTTAACATGCTTGTTTGTTTAAAAAATAATTAGAATTTCGTTATCGTTATTACTACAGGTGAGAGTTCGACCTCTGGCGGCAGCTCAGAGACGGGTTCTTTCGAAAAAACTCGAATGGCTGAACGAAAACGCATGGCACTCGAGCCAGATTCCGTCGAGGCTCAGGAGTACAGAAAATCCTTCGAAGCCGAGTACAACCGATCCTTCGAAGTAACTTCACACGATTCCATTGGAGACCTTGATCCCCCGACCCTGAAGCTGCACCCTGCGTTGAACAGAGGCCAAGTTTCTTCCGATGCTGACGGAAGTCAGTCATCTTTTGACACCGAATTACCGACCCTGCGAGAGCAGGATAGGCCTTCCTTTGATCTTCCCGAGGAAGATTCCTTCCTGCTGGAGAAGCAGAAGTTCTACGAAGAAGAAGAGGAGGCACGTCAGGCTTCATCCTCGGTCTTTCAGGCTGAGTTGTCTACGGAGTCGGACGTTCCGCCTCCCCCGAAAAGGGCACCAAGGCGGGGAGGAAGGTCCCCAGCCCTGCCGCCTTCTAATACGGGTTAGTAGAATTTAAATTATGGTAGTTACACAATTTCCATGAGCAAGAAATTAACAAAAATAATACTCAATAGCTTAAGGTCTGTGAAATTGAGGGTGAAGTGGGAAGAACCCAGTTAGCTCGTTAGTTATATTGACAAACCACGTAACAGTAGTTGATCGAAACCGTACAACAATACAAAAGTTTATGAAAACTGTAGATAACAAGAAATGAATTCGTTCGTAGAAAATCCTCGCAGACTCCATTTTAATTCTGTCTATCTATCAGGTTTGAAGTTTTGACTCTACTCATGAACGAAAACCAGGTGCTGCTTTTTTCGGATAAAGTAATATTTCTAATCTGGAATTTTGATTCTACGACATAACTAAAATTCTCATAAGTATCCTTCTCGCAATCAATACAAACTGACTTGAATTTCGGCATCGCATGGCGAGTAATCATCACAAAATTTGAGCCACAATTACTTTAATTTTCGAAACAGGTTCTCAGGATAGTGAAGGGCAGCCTCAGCCTCTTCCAACCCCCCCGCCTCGCCTCAGAAGATCTGGCTCTCGCGCCTCAACGATTTCCGACAGTGAAGATCAGCCTCAGCCTCTACCCACTCCCCCGCCTCGCCTCAGACGATCTGGGTCTCGCGCATCAACAATATCAGAAAATTCACTTTATGGTGAGTCAATTCATGTCAATCTGAAATGTGTTCGCTCCTCAGAGAGTCTTGTCTGAAATTATCAAATTTCTCAATTTTTCTCCATGAACGTTTCACGGGTTGAATAACGCGTGTACGCGAGTGATGCAATCTTGCTTGGAGTAATGTAAGCGAAGTAAATTAACGTTATGAGTATTAATATTTTAACTGCAATCATATCGAATTATGCAAGGCTAATTGACGGATCAAAATGTGGTAAATATAATGCATAAAAATTTATATCTGTCTAATATAACATCATTCCTTATGACAGCCATCGAGGAGACTGAAGGCTTAACACCCCTGGCGCCGCCTCGCCTGAAGCGCCCCTCCTCCCGCACCAGCAGCCGCTCCGATATCAACTTAGGTTTGTTGTGTGGAGAACAAAATTCGGTTATTATTTGGTTAGTCAAGGGTTCAATAACTAAGCGGGTCGTGTTGAGAACCTTAGCTTCTGCCAGTCGTATTGGAAGCTTCAACCTATGCGTGCATTTCGAGAGCCTCGACCTATACGAGTGCCTTGAGAACCTCAATCAATGTGAGTATCTTGAGAACCTCAACCTCTTCTAGTATCTTGAGAACCTCGACCTATGCGAGTACCTTGAGAACCTTAACCAATGCGAGTACCTTGAGTACCTTAACCTATGCGAGTACCTTGAGTACCTTAACCTATGAGAGTACCTTGAGTACCTTAACCTATGCGAGTACCTTGAAAACCTCAACAAATTGTAAGTATCTTGAGAACCTGACATTATGCGTGAATTTTGAGTACCTCAACCTATGCGAGTACCTTGAGTACCTCAACCTATGCGAGTACCTTGAGTACCTTAACCTATGCGAGTATCAATTGAGAGCTTAACCATTTTAAGGTTTCCTACAGTTACTGGAAATAGATATTAATTCCAGTAAGTTTCCCCTCTAAAATACATGCCGTGGGTACGATTGTTTTATCCAAATAAATCAACTAAGTTTTTGCCCTGATTTGACGGAGTTCATACATGTTTATTTCATTTATTTTCAGTTTGATTTATACCTCATACTGTCCTCTCCTCGTGAAATAATTAAAGTATCATTGAATAATTAATATCATCTCCCTAAAATTTATTTATTTCATCTTTATTGATAACATCACCCTATTATTGTCCATCTCTCCCACTTATTATTTTTCTATTGATTTTCTTGCTTCTTTATTTTTTCTCATCCTCGTTGTTCCTATCAGCATCCCATCCCTCATTATTTATTTTAAAATTTCCTTAAAATCCCATTCTTCATCTTCTACTTGTTTATCAACAGCATCATCCGTATTTGTTCTGTCGCACCTAAGACAAGCCCCGTAGCTATCCCATCATCTTTTTTATTTTTTTATGAGACAATTTGATTGCTTGAGTCGCAAATGATCCAAAAGTCAGCAAAAACTCCTAGCAAATTAGCATTTAAAAGCAAAGGAATTGCCTCAAAGATTTACTTCATCCCTATATATGATAAGCTTCTAAGTCCAGCTGTATCGTCAGGTCGAAAATAATTGTTCAACTGCAATCTAATTATGCTTCCTCTCATTCAGCTTCTAGCTTCCGTACGCCGAGCACAGAAGCGTCACTCTATTCGATAGTAAGATAAAATTTCATGTTTACCCTTCCGGTGTTTGGGACGTTCGAATTTTAGAATTATATTTCTAAACAGACACCTAGTTTGAATATGGCGTTCATTTCGTACCCAGTTGAGATGCAAATGAATATTTCTGCCTGCTTTTAACGGAGATTTATCGTTGTTTTGTCGTTAATTCGCCAATTTAGGTTTTATTTTTATTGCAATACCAAGTGTTTTCAGCTGGCTTTAACAACACTTCTCGTTCACATCCGATTGAAAATTTTCAACAGTTTGGGTTTCTCCTGTACCTTTGCTCCTCCAATTTCCATTTAAATTTCTATTGTAAATCTACTGGTAGAAATCGCTCACTTGTATTCACGAATTCGGAACGGTGATAGAGCTGGTATTCAAAAGATTAGAAGTCGATTACATCGATAAGATAAAAAAAGATTAGATCGATAGAAATTTGGTGAATTTTCTTGACATTTTCACTAATTCTAAACTTCTGTTTTTTCTCATTATCTCAGTGTTCATCTCATTTACCCGTATTTATCGAGTTTGTCTCTCTCAGTATCTCTCAGTTTCTTTCAATTTATCTCTTCTCACAATTTATTTATCATCTCCATCATAAATTAAAGGTCATCCCAGCTCTTCAGCATTCATTATATCCCTGCAGTATATTAACAACCATCTATATTTATTTCCGGATTCTAGCTTGTAATTATCTCACCCTTTTCTTGTGTTTACATAGCCACCTCCATCGTATTAACTCCATCATCGCCTAACATTCTCCGCATCACCTGCTCCGTATTCTCCTCGGCACCTCCTCCGTATGTATTTAATCCCTACCCTGCATATATATCACAAGTTTTCACCCATATTTCCCCCATCAAGTTCTATGTAGTCACTATGACGACATCCATTAATTTTATCCTATTTCCTCATTATCCACATCGTCTACTCTTATTCATCTTATGCTTCTTCTTTAATTAGCTGGTTGCCCCTGTTTTCACTGATCGTGACTTATCTATTGAACGTCTACAAATAAAATGGCCCTCTATATTCGCTCATGATTTATGTTCTAAATAATCCATTATTTTCAGCCTTTATCATTTTATCTTATATACATTTTAAATAATTTATTTGATAATTTCCCTAAATTTCTCGGTTTGTTTTTCATCCTGCCCAATATAATTAGGCAGGTATTTTTCTTGCACTTTGTTTTTGCCGTTATCTTAAAATCAAATTATTAGTATAATCCTATTATCTTTTATTCCCTATTTATTCGATCTCCCCGTTAATCCTACCCACCTTGTCTATCCCACCTGCATCGTTTGCCCTATAATCTTCCCCGTGTTTTGGGGATGCAGAAGCTGAGGAAATTGAGGACGAGGGCCACCCTGTCCCGCCTCCCCGTCATAGGAGACCTGTCAGCACTCAGACAGACGGGACTCTGGACAGTAGGTTTATACGTCCTGTCAACGCCGTTTTAGCGTCTCTGTCTGCTTAGAATCTTCATCCTATTAAACGGGGTGTAAATAGTGTCTCTGTCTAATAACATGCATCTTTTTAAATATCATGTAAATAGTATTTCTGTCTGTTTAAAATCTGCATCCTATTAAATGGGGTGTAAACAGTGTCTCTGTCTTTAATAACATGCATCTTAATAAATATCGTGTAAATAGCGTTGCTGTCTGTTTAGAATCTGCATCCTATTAAATGGGGTGTAAATTGCGTCTCTGTCTAATAACATGCATCTTTTTATATAGCATGTAGTAGCATTACTGTCTGTTTAGAATATGCGTCATTTTAAATGGGGTGTAAATTGCGTCTCTGTCCGAGAATCTGCATCCTTTTAACGGGCTGTAAAATGCCTTTTTTCTAGAATCTACGTCTATTAAATGTGGTGTAAATGTAGCGTTTCTGCCTGTGAAGCTTGGCTTATTTCTCTTTCATGTCGCAGAAGTGTAGATTTTCTGCTCCGTAATAATAATTTTGAGCCTATTTTTGACTGCTTCATTCCTGTATCTATTTTGTTTGTTAGAATTCAAAATCATTGGTTAGTTGTTAACGCGCCACCTTCCACTGAACTTTAGAAAAGCAAATTTTATCCAAATTTGCTTTTCTTACCGACAATAAAAAATTGCTTCTTAATTATCAAATCTATTGATATTAATCTTATTGGTACATCAGTTCCTTCGTTTTTTATAAAAAAAGAACGTGATACGAAACTCGAATTTTTTCCTGAGGACCTTGGTACGCCTTCTTGATTTCTCATATATATAGAAGGCCATCATTCGTCTCATTAACTTCTCTTATAGGAGACCACAATTAGGACGCATGAAGACTGCCTCATATTCTCTGAGAAAAGCGGAACGAAAATAGTTTTTTCCATGAAGAACAACATACATCTGTTTTTTCTCCCCGACGAAATAAAAAATTATTTTTTTTTTAAATCGTCAAACGCCCAATTTCTCCTCAATATGAGGAGCGGCTTGTGTTTCATATTTTTTCTTAGAGGAGCATCATACGTCTCATTTTCTTTCTAAGAATAGCGTCATAGGCCTACGCTTCATATTTTGCTCTAAGAAAAGCGTCATACGCTTACTTTTTTTCTAAAGAGAGCATCATACGTTTTTTTCTCCATGAAGAGTGTCCCACATCTCATTTATATTTCTAATAAGAGCGTCAGACGTTTTATTTTTTCTCTAGGAAGAGCGTCATACGTTTAATTTTTTATAAGAATGGCTTCCTCATACTTCTATTTTTTTGTAAAGCGCAATTCATATACGAGGTTTCATCACATTATTTTAAGGTTTTATTTTGTTCTTCATGCCTTCATCATTCACTAACACTTTTGCTTATTAGACAAGCTACAATTTCCTTACTCTGAAATTGTTTCCAGATTGTGATAGTCGAACTTAATTCTCTGTACGGTATTTATCCAAGCTTTCCGTTTGATAAGATCCTGCTATTTTCCACGAATTTGTCAGTTAGTCGTCAGATAATTGTACCTAAAAAATATTTTTTTCTTACATAAGAGTTTTGCCAATAAACTTTTATCGCCATGGGATGTTTTTGTAGGAGAGGAATGTAATGTAATTCTTGTGAAACAATAAATCATTTTATTTAAATGTGATGATACTAAAATTTTGTTATTTCGAAAATTGACCCGTTTTTATTTCTGTCATGTTAATTTCTTGACTTTTGTAGTCCAACCTTTTTATTGTATGATGAAGTGAGTACGCGAGTACGTATATGATGTTTACTTGCAAGTGTAAGCTCTCGCAGGAAAAACCACCCACGATGAACTTGAGCGCTATTAAGATTTTCTGAATATAATTCGAAGCTGGGCAAGGGAGTTCAGTTTATTAAAGAAAAAGTAATAAATGTCTGAAAATCTGACTCGTATTGCCGTGTTTCGTCCGAATAACACATTCATAAGAGCCGTTGCAACGCTGATAAAGACTTTTTATAGGCACTGTCTTTAGTGCCTGTAAGAGACTGCCTTTAGTGCCCCTCCCTTATAGCACAGTCTCGCCTGCATCTCTCACGTTTGCCCCGTTACAACGCTGATAAAGGCTTTTTTACAAGGCACTGTCTTTAGTGCCTGTAAGAGACTGCCTTTAGTGCCCGGCCTAATGGCACAGTCTCACCTGCATCTCTCACGTTTGCCCCGCAGCCGGCGCAGGCACTGAGGCCGTAGCTGAGGAAGGCTCGTCAATGGTCGCACCGCCGCGCAAGAGACGCCTCGGCGGCTCCACGTCTTCGCTCGACGCTGCCTGTGCCGCTGACGACGTCGCCCGCACGCAATCGAACGCACCCTCGCCTCAACGTCAGTACCAGGGCCTATACTTTAAGGGTACGCACACAGTGAAAGCAGGTTGCCTGCGTGCTGGTTACCTGCTCAGGCTGGCGCCTGAAACCATAGAATACAGAAGCCTATTCTTACAGGTTTTCACTGTGAACACTTACATTATTATTCTATGTTCATTCTTGTGGCAGGTTGGAGCAGGTTGCCCGCGCGGGCAAACCTGCTTCCACTGTGTGCGTACCCTAAAAAAGTTAAGAGATCGTAAGTTCATCTGTCAATCATTGACGGCCTTTCATGCAAAATCCATCAATCACAGACAAGAAAATAGAGCGTAAGTACTTACGTTCACTTAGCGAGTTTTGAAACTGTGGCCCCTGATAATTTATTACTCATTTAACTCTTTATTTTTGTTTCATCCGTTCCTCTTTAAATGTGATTAATTATTACAATTGAAGGGCAATTTATCCATGTTCAAGAATTGTCGATCAATGCACTCGGAATTCAGGCAGTTCTTCTAAATTTCTTCGTATATAAAGAGATTAATTGATGTTTAGGGACTGGATTTTGTGTGGGTAAATTTATTGCCTGAAATAATTACATGAGACAGGGATTTTAAATCTCAATTAATTTGCCCATGCAGCTATTTATCAAAGAAATCACAGTTAATATCACAGCTACTCTAAACTCAAAATTTATCTAAAATTAAACAACAGCTTGTTCCCAAGTCCGCTATATGCCAAAATTTATGTTACGAATCAAGTCTGTAAATAATTTTTTTGGTTGAACAATGCGTTTAGGAATCAAATGCTTTTCGCTTGCTTATTCATTTCAGGAACACAAATTTTTTTAATCAGTATATTTCCGATCGAAAAAAGCTGGGCAATTTCGATCATTATTATTAAGTTAAGAACTTAAGATGTTCTCAGGTCACCGTGCTCATTAGAAAAGACTTACGGGGCAGATAATTGAAGCACTCGTAGATGTAACAATGCCTCATGACTTACCAACGTATAAATGCTGCGAAATTAAAAATCAACTAACCAATGAAAAATGTACAAACGTTTAATAAACGTAGCATAGAAATTATTTAAAGAAGATCGAGAAGGAATAGAACTAATTTTTTTTATGTAGGTTTAAGGTAAAAAGCAATAGTTGGCACCGCCGTCATCTGACACGCGTGTACACCTGACACAAACTCAGCTGAAGGTCTGCAGCTGCACGGCGCACACCCATGCGGCAAAGTCAACAGTTTGCAAGGCATTGTAAGCAAGTGGGTGCCGTGTATAATTGGTGTATTGGCGAGGCTGCTCACTTGCGCGCGCACTGAGCAAAACTGAGCAGAAGATGCGTGCGGTATGCGACTCTGAAGCGCCTCAGTTCGAGCGAGGTGCGCTTGCCAAGCCCCGGCGCTGCTGTGCGTCGGCTGTCCGATTTCGTATTCATATTCATAATAATACGGTAAATACTCCATAATTGAAGAAAAACCCCACCAACGGTTGCGCGCACGCACATGAGGGCGTTGGAGAACGTTTCGATATTCGGAGAACGTGTAACGTCTTAAGAAAAAAATTAGTTTTGAGTAGTATGATCATCAGGAACCAACGATCCGATTGACCCTTGAGCGACCACCGATATTCTGTGGACAATCGTTAATTCCACTAGCATTTTACTGGTAGTATATTAGAACCGAACGAAAGCGACAAAGTTTCCCTTCATATAGATGGATTTCTTGATTTTTATTTGTATTTAAGACGAAGCGAAAGGGTGTGAGTTGATAGTAAACAATTAACGTATCGATCCAATTCACCTGTCATGTAACTGACTGCTGCTGTTGGTTAAAGCAGAACTGTTCGTGGTGCTCTTATAATTCGGTGATTGGATCATCCATCCGACGAAATAAATCTTTGAGTGGTTACAAACAGAACTGAAATCGAATATTCTTCAAGAACACGAACAAAAAATTCAATATTTGTTAATTATTCACAGCCAGTTACCATAAATCTTCGAACGCAATCTCTTGTTTTCCCTGCTGACCAGACGGACAATTTTATCCATGTTGACCCATGCGAAGAAGCACTACGAGAAGTTTTAAGACACCCACGACTTTCGGTTTTAAGTAAGCCTTATTCCGGACAGAAAACATGATTCGGTCCTTACCTAATAATAAACATGGTTCCAGAAAATGACCTTTCGTCAATTGGTTTAAATGTTTTATTGTTGAAATCATGTGAGAACGCAAAGTTGCTACATGAGACCATCTTTTATATAATGAAAATAAGTGCGGTGCATTGCGAAGCCGATAGTTGAATGAAAAATACATCCTAAGTGTTAAATCAGTGTGTTGCCGTCAGTAGACAGTTTACGGGATGAAGCGAGTTCCAACATTAGTGATCTCTATGGATTGAATATCCAGAATTGAAGTTAAAGAGGTAAGTTTGGAAATTGAAATCCAAATAACGGAAATCAAAATGTTGTCGAAGTGCTAGCCCAATTAAAGGCTTATGTAGATGTGAACTTGAACATGGCTGCCGCTTGACCCGAAATTGTCCATTTATTTGGATGCATGCAAAGTTTCAACTTCATAATCATGCAACGTATAGAATTAATAGTCATTCCTAGAAATTAACTAAATAGTTAATTGTTATAAGAAAATAAATTAATTAGCAAGTCATATTTAATCAATGATCATTTTATCGATTGGCTGCATGTATAATCGGTATACTATTCACTCGAAAATATAATTTATTGAGATGATGCCAGGCATTTCAGCGCTGCGGTCGTGATCCTAATTATTAAACCTGATTACTGTTAATTCCTGCATTGATTAGTTCGCGGGGTTAACTTGCTTAATTTTATCACCCACATTTATTGAGAAACCTATTAAATTCACCTAGCCTGTGTCTCCACTAATGTACATATAATACGAAAATATCATCCGAATAATTTAAAACTGATACGTTTCGATTAATCTGATAAAGCCACTGTGTTACCATGATGACAAGGTTTGGCCTAAACTGGAAAAATGTCATGTGCATTCTACCATTCGTTACCGCACTGGAAACCGAGGCAATTCCCAAACAATTCGTTTGTCTTGGTACAAATTTCGCGTCCCCGTATTTGAAAATTTGCTTCAACATGAAATAAAATTCAAGGCTCGATATTATTCCTGCTTTGATGAAAGATATATTCACGGCCGGATATTCAAACGACAGAAAACTAGACCAACTCCAAAATTGAATTTCACGATCAATTGTTTATAGACGTCGGGGATATCGAGCAGCTGTTTGGTGGTCTGGCCCATTAATGTTAGCTCTCATCGAAGGAGAAGCGAAGAACTGAGCGCAATATCTTGCGTTACTTCGCTGTGGGATAAGGGCTCGTCAATAACATTATTATATTTGACGACGAGGTTACATCATATACGATTTAAATATAAATTATTGTTTCTTTTGACTTAGCATTGGAATATTATTATTATATATTTGCAGTAATATGTTACTGTAATCGGCACGTTAACTGTAATTATTCTTTTTGATTATTATTAGCAACCCGATGCTTGCGCACATCGGGTTTCTCCATCTTTTTGAACTAATGCTGTTTGGATAAGATGAGAATGTTAATGCTGGGTGAAAAAATTTTAGAAACTATGCTGCATGTGACAATACACGCTAGACAACCTCCACTGCACTGTACTGCGTGCTGCAATACGCGCTAGACTACCTCCACTGCACTGTACTGCGTGCTGCAATACGCGCGAGACAACCTCCACTGCACTGCACTGCGTGCAGCAAAACACGCTAGACTACCTCCACTGCACTGTACTGCGTGCTGCAATACACGCTAGACAACCTCCACTGCACTGTACTGCGTGCTGCAATACGCGCTAGACTACCTCCACTGCACTGTACTGCGTGCAGCAAAACACGCTAGACTACCTCCACTGCACTGTACTGCGTGCTGCAATACGCGCTAGACAACCTCCACTGCACTGTACTGCGTGCAGCAATACGCGCTAGACGACCTCCACTGCACTGTACTGCGTGCTGCAATACGCGCTAGACAACCTCCACTGCACTGTACTGCGTGCTGCAATACGCGCTAGACAACCTCCACTGCACTGCACTGCGTGCAGCAATACACGCTAGATAACCTCCACTGCACTGCACTGCGTGCAGCAATACACGCTAGGTAATCTAGTGTGTATTAGTTCATTGTGCTCGAACTACTGCAAAGTGTCAACAAGATCACGTTGAATCATTAGATTTTCAGAAGCAGAGACATATTTCTATACATATTTTAGTAAATAGTAAATTAAATTAAGATTAGCTTTCATTCCATTGCAGGGTTTTACATTTTTCATACTTTTTACGGAAACGGCGGGATGAATTGTTTCTTCAATTTAGGTAAATTATTTCAAACATTCATAATCAACTTGTAGAGTAGTCGCAAAGTGTGTTTTCGTTATCCAAATAGTTCAATTTTATTAATTAACGGCCTTCTCATGGCTGTTATACGGCAGGCTAAGAAATAACTTGTAACTACTGTGGAGGAACATTTATAGTTTATAGATATAATTTTAGCAGGCATCTGAAATCAATCAAATATTTAAATATATATTTATATAAATATATATTTCACTCCGATCGTTCAGTTAGATGTTTAGAGGAGTGGTAATTTAAAATAATTTGTAAATAATTGGAAAAATTCTGTTCATTCAGCCACTCTGGAAGTAAAGTCGTAAAGAATTTATAGATTAAAATTAGCAGTTGATGTGCTGAGAGCCATTTTTTACGTTCGAAGAGAAACCGACAGTTTCTTTATATATACTCGCATATACAGTATATGTCTTTTTACAAGATATCATAAAATTATCCGAAATTATATGAAATATCATATATTAAATGGAAAAAGTAGCGAGTAAATAAAGCAGGGAATTAATTTTACGAGCGGTCGTACAGACTCCGCGTGCACTGCGATAGATCCAAGTGCACTCTATTAAATTGAAGGCATATGCAACAGTTCTTTAATTAAAGAAATAAAGGCGCATAATGTATGTAATGTAAAATTATTTAATTCACTACTGTAATTAGTGTGGCATAATATGTTAGTTTGAAGGCACCTGTATCATAACTATTATTTAAGGTTCATCATAATACATTGAAGGCGCCAGCCTCACTGCAAGGGCTCAGAATATTACATTGAAGGCTCCGGCATCACTGTAAGGGCACATAATATTATATTTAAGGCTCCGGCATTACTAATTTAATTGAAGGCACCTCATATTATGTTGAAGGCACTCGCATCATAACTAAATTAAAGGCGCCTATTATTATACTGAAGGCCCCCGCAACACTAATATAATTAAAGACGAAAATTATGTTGGAGGCACTGGCAACATAACTAAATTATAGGTGCATAATATTATAATGAAGGCCCCCGCAACACTAATATAATTAAAGACGAATATTATCGCATTGACGTTCATGGTACGCCTTTAATTTTGCGATGAACGAGGAGGCTCGTGACGCGCCGTGGCGAGGCTGTGCCAGCTCACGCAGCGCCTATAATTAGACGGCCTGTCTTGCCTGCTGTTGTACCGCCCTGTTTGTCTGTTATTATTGGAATTACTAACATGTTCTCTCCCTTCACATTGCTGCTTCATTCCTGTTTGCCTGTTATTATTGGAATTACTAGCATGTTCTTTCCCTCCTGATTATATCAGGAATGTTGTTTCACATCGATTACAACTGACAATTTCATATTTTTCATCGTATTGGCCATTTCCATTTTTTCATCGTATTGGCCATTTCCTGTTACTATCGGCTTCTGCATTGATGGTGTTTCTCTCCTACTATATGTTTCACTGTTTCTGCTTTCCAGCTGTTTGCAGCATTTTTTTAGTCTACATTCTACTCTGTTGAGTTGCCTCTGTTGGTTGCTATTCTTGCCATTCTTATATCGGGTATTTTTCCTGTCCTGTGTTGCACCTCTCCCGTTTCGCTGTCGTAACATATGTTACTATCATGCTCCGTTCTTTCATTCTGTTGCACTCTTTCTTCTTGCCTGCCATTTACGGCCTTCTCTAAAGGCTTACTTTGGTTTCTTCATCACCATCTCCGTTCGTCTTTTAGGTTCAGGCTGTAGCGTTGCTAACCTAATTGTGCACCCTTTCTTCTTGCCTTCTATTAATAGTCTTCCGTTCTGGCTTACTTTGGTCTTTTCTTCAGCACCTCTGTTCGTTCTTTAGGTTATTGCCGTAGCGTTACTAACCTAATTTGTGACGTAATTAAGCTCTTGATAGATCGTATTGAAATTTTCATGAGGTGCAATGAGCTCCCTGATCTTTTCAACTAGCCACACGGGGCCTTAAAATGGGCAAACACTTTGTTACGTTGTGAATTTATCCAGGATTATGAAAGAGCGTATATTGATTCAACTGTTATGCTTTCGTAACTGCAAGCATCTCATAGATTGTCTTTCCTAAACTTTTCCCAGAATATTTGTGTCATGTTTTCTTCGGTAAATTTTTCAGAACAATGAAAAATAACTGAAACACGAGTTTCCATTGTGATATTTACTATATCGGAAAATAATGTTACATGCAAAGAAAATTTATGTTTGAGTGCTTTATTATATTGAATCATTTTACGCAATTGTGAAACCGACATTGCGCGATTGCCGAAGACCAGCCTGGTGACTAATATCTCGTGACTTAGCAGGGAAGCGCAGATTATAAAAGAGACGCTCGATTCTCGAAACTCTTAAGTTAAACGAATTTTTTCAGTCATTTATCCCCCACCCAAAATTTGATCAATTGACCAGGAAACGTGCTTGAAAGAACGGGATTTTCAGGGTTGCATTTCTCTCACCGTTACTTGCAAACTCCAATTTTTTCCAGCATTAATATATATTTATGTTCCTATGAGGTATCTCAATCACCGAATGACCGTTTGTCCAAACCATCATGTATTATTAATTACATTTAATAGCATGTACAGTACGCCTATATAGTGACGTCTTCCGCGACCGTCAACAGTACTAAATCATCATGAATTATTAATAACAAATAATAACATGTACAGTACGCCTAGTGACGTCTGCCGTGACCGTCAACAGGTCTAAATAATCATGAATTATTAATTACGTTTAATAACATGTAAGGTGCGCCTAGTGACGTCTGCCGTGACCATCAACAGTACTAAATAATCATGAATTATTAATAACAAATAATAGCATGTACAGTACGCCTAGTGACGTCTGCCGTGACCGTTCTCAGGGGCCGACGTCGCAGCGCGCATGGCGGCCGTCACCGTCGCCGGGGGCTCGGACGCCGTCCTAGTGGTCACCCTCGGGGGGGCTGCGCCCACCGCCCTCACATGGTGTGGGGTGAGGTGGGTCCTACACCCTCACATGGTGGGTGGAGGGTGGGGGAAGAGGAGGGGTGAGATGGGTCCTACACCCTCACATGGTGGGTGGAGGGTGGAGGGTGGGGTGTGATGAGGGGGCCCACCGCCTTCACATGGTGGATGCAGGTAACTGGGATGAGGTGGGTGTGAGGCTGTGATCAGTTAAGGCATAGGGTGTCTGAAAAGGTATCAAGTGTTTCAATATGTGTTAGAAAAAATGGAACTTTGAACGAACTTTGTCTTACCAGGGCTAGTTTAAGAATTAAATTTGTGGTAAATGGACCCATTCATCAATTTCATCGATTAATTGCGATAGGAACGTTTGCAGTTATTATACTTGAACAGCAGGACCGTGTATGTGATGGGACAGCGGCGTGCGCATTAGGTCCACATGCCAAATGTATATTCAATTGAGAATAATAGCACCAGCTCTCTGCTCTACCTGCCACTTAATCATTCTGCACCAGCAGCATCTATTCTCTTGGCTCCAGCTGGCTATCCATTTCTCTGCACTGTAGATTGCACTCTATCATTCTAAGACAGCTGGTCCTCTATACCTCAATGCACCAGCTACTCCACTGCACCGACTATTGAATTATGATTCGCACCAGCTACACCTGCGCTCCTCATTTGGCTCACTGCCAAAGCCTAGTCTTCCCCGCCTCGTGGGTTGCCACCAACTGACCGTGAGGCTCGCAGTGCAACGTCATTCTCTTTACTGAAGCAAAGTATTGAAGCCTCTGGTCCACTGACATGCAAATCTCTAAATGCATGTTGTAATACGTGATTCAATTTGACTCAATGGCTTCATTAGTATTGTGTAAACTTTACAGTGGTTGGATAACTTCTAACCAGAAGGTATTTAAAATATCATGTTCGGAATTAGAGATTTGAAAGA